TTATTACGAAATCCTACAATAGATGAAACCGGAAAATTATTGAGCTAAACGAGGACATATCTCAATTGTAATCTCAGCATCGAAATGATTTAGCCCCGGGCCATCTTATGAAATTTCTAAGAAAACTGACTCATTTAACGTTTAATCCTCTAAAACTATTTGACTAAAAATCGTGTTTTTTAGACTAACTGAATTCTAGAAATTACCATTTAACTATCTACATAATTACATTTTAACTATTGTAAATGATAAAATGAGAGGAAAACCCTAAGCAATATAAAAAAATACATTACCTAATGTATTTTACACCTGTTCACGCTCTACGTAATTGATTTATTAAAACGATAAAATATTATATCAGAGAAAATAGTAATAACGCGCGAAAATCGATTTACTAGCTTATAACAACAATACATTATTAGTAGGTTAAAGTAAAAATTAAAAAACTAAAACAATTAGTATTTGTGCAAAGTTACCAATAATTCAAGGCGCAACCTAACTCTAAGTTAGGATATATTATTTTTGTTCCGAAAGGTGACAAAAATATCTTACATGTATAAAAATATTTGTTATAACTTAAATTTACATTATGATATGTTTGCGTTATAGCTCAGACGGCGAAATAAAAATTTAATATAATAAAAGAAAATTGAAAATGTTTTTAAATTATATTTTGTTCGTTAAAGATAATCTTTATAAATGTCTTTTACCCTCTCCATTTTGATATATTTTTGTTTGGGCTAATTGAAGATGATTTTAACCTTAAACTTAAGGAAAAAGCTATTTGTTTTGTATGTTTTAAAAGGAACAAGAGACAGGTTGAAGAGTATTAGTTTTTTAAGAAACAATGAAGGCTCTTTAGCCTTCTTATCCTATGCTACACAAAAATTAATATATGCTTTTATAAAGAAACCTTTTATTTTTCAATTTATTCAAATTACATTTTTTTCCTATACATATAATTTAATAATAGTTAACCAAACTGACATAAAGTGCCTCTGAGAAAAATCTTTTACAAACAAACTTATATAGCACAAAACAATTATTTACTCCGGCGACGGATTGACGACCCGTCCCGGAAGCGAATTCGTCAAGAAACCATCTCATGATGGCAGCGTTGGGCCTTCATGGCCCGTTAGGCTACATGATGATGAAAACAATTATTTATAATTTTTAAATATTCTAAAAAGATATGGTATACATTTGTTTACAGTCAACAATTATTGTTTAAAAAACATTTTCAAGATATATTTGAAATAATAATTTTCAACTTTGCTGCTTGAGAATTTAATAGTTATAAAAATTAAAAGTTATCAATAATTTGATAAATTGTTTGATTTAACTCAAACTAACCTGCCAAATTTGAAATAGAATTTTTTATTAGCCATCGATGATTTTCAAAAATGTTTCTTGCTAAACAAATATCTATATCTAAAAAAAATTGACATAGACAAAACTTAAAAAATAATATTTTTACCAAATATTGCCTTTATAAAATATTAAGACGGAATCATCAATACTATTTTAATATGGTTTTAAAATTTTGAGTAATACTGACGTGTAATTTATGCATGTATGATTTTAAATATGTCTGTATTTATAGTTTTACAAAAAAAAAAACAATTTTTATCGTTAAGATATTTTATAAATAATGACTCACCTGCAATTATTGCAGTATTTAATTGCACTAATTGCAATTCAACAATTTTTAGGCAACGATGAAAATTAGTATACAATTATTTTCTGTAAATTTAAATAATACAAGTTTTACTGGGCAATTCATAAAAAAACACATAGCTGATAAGTTGGTTCCTTCATTGCTTTCCTAAGCTAAAATACTGTTTCAAGAGAATATTGAGTAGATGTACTTAAATTAATAACCTATTAATAAAATGTCGAACACACATGAAATCTTAAGAGAACATCACGGTCATACTTTTTAAGGGGCTTTTTATAAAGGCAACATTCATTTACTAATGAAGATTGATCTTTGATTGCTAATTTTTATCAAACTATTTCAGTGACTATTCATAATGTTGTTTTAAAAAAACTGCAATGACTATTCATAATTTTATTTTTAGTATAATAGCATCACATTATGTTCGCAAGTTATAAAACATTTTATAAATACTTTTTTCTATACCACTTTCGGTTATTTTTTATTTATTTTTTATTTGTAGACATCACAGCAATATTTTCAAAAACAAACGGATTGCTTAAAAATCGTAGGTTGCCAGGGATGCCATAAAATACATTTTAATATATGGGTACACACATAAAATGTTTTGGCAAAAATAATAAAAATTTGGATAATTGAAAGTAATGCAAGTCTATAAATAAAAAAAGTACCTGAAAAGTAGGTACTTTCTTTGGTAAAAAAAAACAAAGGTCGTCACCCTTTTCCCTACAAAATTACCAAGATACACAGATTACCTAAATTTACGCTAAAATTTACTGTTTGGCGTCGTCCTAACAAAGAGACCGGCAACTAAGTTTTTCAACACATATTTCATCAGTTTCGGGTTTTATGAACGTAACTAAGATTTTGAAGAAGAAAGATGTATTATACCATACATTTTTTTTATACCATCGGTAACACAAAATGTATCAAAAAAATAGTTTTAGCTTTGATTAATAGAAAATATGCAAGTTAAAATATCTAATCTCGAGATTACACAGTTTTAAATAAAGTTTTTTTTATTTTAATATGAAAATGTTTAAGATGTGTACTTCATAAGCAAGACAAGTTGATATTTACAAAATTAAATGTTTAATAAATAGTTTATTTTGTCTCCATACGTTAGGTACTTATAGTATACCATGTAAAAGTGCTTCATTAAAAACAAAAAAAGTCTGCGAGTATCCTTGACGAAGGTCAAGAAACTATGGCTTTCAATTTTTATTCTGATTATTTTTTTTAAATGACATTTATTACATTAATATAATATCATTAAATTTTCATGTTGTGTTAATAGCTTTTTTTTTAGATTTGTAATGCTCGTCTAATTAAATGAGGATCGCTAACGTACACATAACTAAAATAAATACTCAATTATTTAAAAATTAAGCTAGTTAAATATGGGTGATTTTTTCTTTGCACGTGTAAAGCCATTTTTAAATGTACATTATACACGCATTGTTGACCTTAAAATGTTTGTAAATCAGAATAATATTGTCACTGCTACCTGTATGGAGAAATTGTTGAATAATAAATTAGAAAATACAATAAATAATCGCATCATTTTTCGCTAGCGAGTCGATATTACCATCAAGGTTAACACTATTTGTAGACATAATGTCTTAGTAATTAGTTTAACAAAAAAACATATTACTTTGCGATATTTTAAAAAAATACTGAAATTATATAAAGAATACTAAAAAAAAATAATAGTTTCTTTAAAAAGATTAGGTACCAAATCAAAACTTTTTTATTTTACCCAAAATCGAATAAACTGGCAGAAACGGCGACACCCTTGAATACAATTTAAGTACTTAATAGTTGTATTGACTCAGTATCAATAAGCAATCAACATTTTGAAACAAAATATAACATTCTATATAATCTATCTTATTTTAACAACAATAGTATATTATGTGCTAATTAATAGTGGTCATTAGTGATCGGAATACTCGGATTATCATTTTTATTTGGCTTAAATGCTCAAAAAATACACCTTGCAAAAAACATTTAAAATTTGATTTGTAAATTAGTTCTAAGGTAGATCTGGTATGGATCTATATATATACATATACAGTTTTTCAAAAGTATAGTCCACTATAGGAAAAAATCCCCAAAAAAGAAAAAATTAAATAGAAAAGTCGAAAAAAGGACCACAGTTATCAAAATAGTTGAAATAATTATGTTTAAAAATAAGATAATATTTTGTTTTTTGACTTTGCTGTGAATTATTATTTTTTTTGGGAGAGTTTTTTCCTTAATATAATAAACTTTAACTACTCATTTTTGAGAAAAGTGCTTTTATAGAGAACCTAGTTTGAAATTTACACATGTTATGTAACATTTTCTAAGCTTTCTGAAAAAAATATAAAAAAAATTCTTAAATTTATTTTTTTCAAAATCATAAAAAAACCAATTTTTTAGATTATAAAAAAATATTAGAAAAATTCTTAAATTTATTTTTTTTTTAAATCTTGGAAAACCCAATTTTTTAGATTATAAACTCAATTTTAATAACTCTTTGTTACTCGAAAAAAAATCAATTTTTTAAAAAAAGCCAATATTATTTTACATAAAAACCTGGTTTTTTATTTTTATTTTTTTTGTGGCCGAAGATACTATAAAAAATCTATATAAAAGAAGAGTAAAGAAAAAAACTAAAAATATTTTATACGACCTAAAATAATAAATAAAAAAAATTAAGAACATTATTTTTATTGTAACAGTCATGTAGGGTAAGTTTAATTTCAAATGGTTTACGCCACAACAACGACTATAATACGTTATACTATTATAATACAATTTTAGTACTATTATAATACTATTATACTATATCCGTATTATATTTTTTATTTAGTTCGGCATAAGCTTAATTATTAATACAATTTCTAATACTTATATTTGGCGTTGTTTACTCTTAAACAACATAATAGACGAACTAGCAATAACAAAATAATTAAGTATTAGTGACGTTTTTTAAAAATAACATAATGAGTCTTTACGAAAAACAAAAACCCCTTATTCAAATGGTAAAGAATATTGTGTAGTGTCACATAAAAATAGTACATATTGATTATTATATTAAAATATCTACTTAAGTGCATTTTTTTAAGCATGAATAGAGTAACCATAAAAGTTTTTATTTCATAATATTGCCGAAAGACAATAATATGAAATTTGAATTTTCATGTTGTTTGGATTTATTAATATTTTATAATTACGATAGTAACAAAATGAAAAGTCTATTTTTTTTAAATTTAGATCATACTTAACTGTCTGTTAATTGGTCCTGATTTTTTCAATTGTAATTAAATGGGGAACAAAACCAATTTAATAATTTATTTTACTTTAACTAAATACACAATTGAAAATCAAATACATTGAGTACAATAGTAATGCATAAATTGTTCCATTGAATATGTAGTAAGCAGCCATAACCCTGAAAAAAATAATAACTGTTAATATTGTATTTTAAAATAATTTCTAAATACCATAAGAAATGCTTTGTATAACCACAAAGTTAATAATATTAATTTTAATCTATTCTGTTTTGCCCTTTTACAATAATGTTATTTTTAAAGTAAAAACAAAATTGTTGTACCTTGCAATCGTATAATATGTAGTAATTTAGTAAAGAATATCAGAGAAAACCAACTATAAGTAATTAAGTACAGTACTTAAAATAGAGTAAAAAATAAGTAAGAATGATGGAATTAGTTTAAAAAGTAGTGTTGATTTAATTTTCGGAAATTATTCGATAAAATATTATCATACAAAATATTTAAATCATAATTAATTAAACATCCTTAATTTGAGCACTGTCAATGTATTAAGATTGAATAAGAATACTATATTTTGTTATTACTATATTTTGTTGTAAAGAAAACTATTATTATACATCGGATGAATGTTATGGGTATACGCTATACACACATTTTATGTCTTTTTATAGCTTGAGCAGAATTTCCAGGTTCATTGAGAATATATCGACGAATTCCTAAAGCAGTATTCAAAAAATATTTTTCCCAATTGATTTTTGATATGTCGATATCAAACAGTGCTCTGTCTTCGGCACTTTGATGAGCTATTAACATATCCAGGTTCCGATCGTCAAATTTGAAATTATTAATGGCGAAATATTGCATATCCATTACCATTGTGTGCAGTTTAGAATAGAGTGGTGCAACCCTATAATTTGTTTGAAAAATTGCGTAAGTCTACAATTATAATCTTAAAAGAAATTATTAGTATCACATGTACAACATCAAAATATAATATGATCTATATATTTACCTAAATTTATTTCCAATGACCCATAGGATAGTATCAATAAATAGTGATGGTATATAATGATACAAATAAAAAATTATATCATAAATAAATTTGTGTTTTGTATTTAAAGTACTTTGATTCCAAACCTGAAAATGTTAGGTAACATTAATAATAATTTAACAATACTCAATTGCTCAATCATAACAATATAATGACCAAAATTTGACACAGAATAATATGTTAGTCTATATTTCTATTACAACCGTTAACTGTTAACAATTAACATATGGACGGCTTGTAGTGAGGAAATGACAGTAAATATTGAGTAAGAGAGGTATAAAGACAGTAAGGATTTTTATGGAACTTAATCGATAATTAATATATTGGAATATCGTCGCGGAAAGTCGAAAACAAAAAGGTATGCCGTATGAAAATAAATGGTTTCATTCAATCCAATAAATATTTAACAATCAGCATTTCCGTTAAACCTATTTTGCAATTTACTATTATTATTGAATAAAATTAACTACCTGTTTTTCCGAATATATTTTATATGTTTTCATTTTATCAACGATACTTTTTGAACACTGGCCAAAGGTCAAAAGTGGTGCTCTGTTATTTGGAACAAAATTAAATATTGGTATCGATGAATCTTCATTACTAAAAAAAAAAATTACTTTATATATTATTAAAACATAATGTCTGGACCTTTTTTTTAAATAAAAATGCTCCGAAACGCCGTTTACGGTCTGTCCCATTGTAGTAACAACTAGATATATTATATTTAAGTTTTTATAATAATACATGTTTTTTCTTGATTGGAAATTATTTACCTACTAAAAAATAACACCATATTTTAGCAAAATAATATTATATACATCGAACTATAAGTACACAAAATAGTTAAAACCAACAAATTTTAAATAAACAAATTGGCTCTACATTTTATACCTATTAATGTGATACGGTTTTTTAAGAATGAAATTTTATATTTTCCTAGTAACTATATAACACAAATTATTTCATACTTGTCGTCGGAAGTAAATGGGATGTGGTAGAGAATCTTAAATAGCAACAAAACATTTTGTGTTATACCTTTTTTTTGTAATGTGCCAAACAGCAGAAATGATCAAATTGGCCACTTTGTCAGCTGGCACAATCACAGCAGGAGTATCTTTGTCGATTAACAGTACACGTATCGCACCTAATCCAATACCTAGACAAAGACCTGGTACGCTGCTCATGTTTGTAAACCAACCAACTATTGGTTCATCTTGAGTGAACACGACTATAAAACAAATTTTGAAAATTTTAAATAAGGTATAATAACTACACAACAAGGTAACATTTACCAATTGAAGGTCTAACTATACTAATTGGCATATCTTGCCCATACTGTTTGACTAAATTTTCTGCAACACATTTCGATAATGTGTATGTGTTTGGCCATGTTCCTAAACACCTTAAACATAATTATTGAGTTTCGTTTAAATGCACAAAGTATCTAATAAACAATAATGAAATTATTTTGTCAGAATTTAATTTTACTGTACTCTTTTGTTATGGAATCGATAAAAGAAGATGAAAACGATTCGGCCATTTTGATCAATGTCTCTCCTGGCATGTGACAATCGTAAATAATCTCTTTACTGATTTCCTGGTTGGTGTTTGCAAATGCCGTTGATACAAATACAAATGCCTAAAAATATTTATTTTTTAGTAGACAGTTACAATCACGTTACGTTACCTGATGAAAACCGAAAATTGGTGAATTTTTTTGAAAATAAGTTTATAGGAGTTGATGTTTTTATAAAATCTATTGAATTCACATCATTTCATTTATATTAAAATTACAATTTTTGTAATGTTATTATTAAACTAGGTACTTGTACTTGGATTGAAACACTTTTAGAAATTCGACATTTGTGAAATAAAGCTTCAGATGCAAGAACCGGTGGCTATCTCCATATTTTCAAATTGTTAAGGACGGCCAAAAAAAAATCCATTGTCCCATTTACCACTATCAGCGGGGAAAAATGCGTTTTGTAATATTATTGTAGGCATTAGTCCGATTTTACTGGTTCTTGCACCGTGCCCTTCAAATCTGCTATTAACTATTAAGGGCTTCTCACAAAACCATTTTCCCTAAGTTGGTAAAACACAACACTAGTATAAAAATTGAAAAAACAAAGTGGATGATCCTCATTTTTTCCCGTTTTTCTAGATTTTAATTACATAATTTTCATTATAAATTATAATTTAATTAAGTTAAAAAAAAATGATTTACTTTCAATTGGTGTACTCGACGAGCGATAAACATTAAATCTCTTGTGGACCTGATATTGATAAACGTCGTTCTTTTTAGCGATCCGTTGAGATGAATCGTAGCCGCGCAATGGATTATTATGTGCATATTGCGGACAACATAATCTTCGTCGGCTGGCGATAAACCTAAATTGGGTTCTTCGCAATCTCCAGACATTAACGATACTTTCTCCATAAAGTCTGGTTTCTCGTTCTTGAGTATGCTATACAGCTACAATTAAGTATAATAATTAATCACATATTGATAGCGAAAAATGCATGAATCAATATACTACCAACCGGATTACTAAACATTTTGTTTAATCGCGTATACGGTCCTTTTCCTTTTTTAGGTCTTGCCAACAAATATACGTGTTTCACCGGACACGACCTGAAAAAGTTTTAATACTATCATTAATAATTATATAGTGTGGATAAAAGTGAATCTGTAGATTGTGGAAACACAAATATCGATAAAAGCGTTGTAATGATGATAATGTGCTTAAAATTGTAATTTTAGTATTAGTGTGGTCGAATATGTTTCCTAAAAATTCGTTTTAGTTGTTACTAATTGGCTGAGCAGCAACACAATGGAAATATTTTTTGTTGGCTTTTATTTTATTCACGCATGAATCGCTATCTGGAAATTTTATAAAGTCAAAGTGTAATTTTTGGTGGTTTTCTTTAATAAAAAAAAAGTTTAGCTAGGTACAGATTTTTGAGAAAATTGAATGTCCACTGTAGATCTACCTTCAATCAAATTTTCAGATTTCAAATCCTAAAACTACGCTCGAAAAACAATTTTTTTAAACTTTTTGCCTAATAAATTACTTTTTTTCTAGTTAAGATGTTGATGCTTATGTCATTATTTTTAGTAAACTATTTAGAAACAATCTCTTATAGCTGAAATTTTTATATTTTCGTTTTCCTATTTGTGTCTGTAAATATCATAATTTTTTTGCTCTCGACCGATTTACTCGAGTAGCGCCTCTTTACATCCGAAATCGTATCAATTGGTACTTTGGTGGGTCAAAAGTTGAAAAACTATTTCCTTCAGCACAAAACCGGAAAACCCCTAAAATTATTTGTCAGTTTATCAACTTTTAACTTTGACTTGCTGTATAACTTAGAATATTTATTAGTTATGCTCCTATCCACAAATCGCCTCAAATCCAAATTTCGATAACTCTATACTCTCCCCCCCCCCTTCGCAAGAATTTTATTTTATTTTTATATTTTAGGTACAATTTTAAGACATAAGAGCTAGGAAATAGGTCTGATGTGTAGAAAACGTATTTAAAAAAAAAATCCAGTACATTGGTGTCGAGGCATAGTGGGAAAGGGGAGGTCATGTGTCTGTGAGCATTATTATAACTAACTATTTAATTAGTACTTAACTATTTATAATTATAATTAATATTATTATATTATTATTATAACTGATCAAATAAACAATTCGGGGCGTATCTGTGGGCACTGGACCTTGCTTTAGTATTTTCTTACTGTGCTTGGTTTAACTTAAATAGATCAGTTATAATAATTCCCGTAGAGTTGTGAACTGCCCGTTACCAATATGCTTCGTCCCCACTAATTTGGATATCAAAATGTATTATTTAGTAAAAAGGTATCAACATTGTTATGATTAATCGGGAGGTGTGGCGCAGTGGACACCTCAGATGCCGCGTGGCACTTGAGGTTAAGCTGTGTCCGTTGCTGCTTGATCCCGGATGGGTGACCACCCGGGATTTTTAGCGGCGACCCATACTATCAACCCCGAATGCTTGGCTGAAATGCCATGCACCCGGCGACCGAACTGGCATAAAGTTAGCCATAGCCACTACCGGTCAATACGCCATACGCATAATAATAATAATAACATTGTTATGGGTAATCTGTTTGTAGTTCAAAACCTGATGACGCAAAATATGTTATGCAATTTCTTAAAGTTATTAATGATATTGGATTGTAAAAAAAGTACCTGATAAATTAAATGTACTTGCCAGTGAAACACTAAGACACTTATATTAAAAAAACATTTTTAATAGTTTCGTATAATTACCGTTTTTGAACTTGGGGGAATAGTTTTAATATCGTGGTTAAAGTAAAAAGTATATCTACTTATTTCTCGACTGGAACTTGGTTCCCACTCAGCCCCTTATGCAAGCGACCATATTTAGTGAATTTTAACTTACACTTACACTTTTACTAAATATTAGGCACTATTTTATAGTCGCTTTATAACTAAATTCTTACCTGAGAATTTTTTCTACCAAGACCTGTCCAATGAAACCCGTTGCTCCAGTAATAAATACATTTGTATCAGCAAAGACTTTTTGAATTTCAGTAAGCGGTTTTTCAAATAATGCCGTCATTTTCACTATGATAATATTGTATGTTAATTATTATAGAAAGAAAATTAATCTTTAATTATCTATAAAAAAACATTGGAGCATTTAATATTTAATTTAATTACTTAAATTAGTTCACAGAATACGATAAAATATTTATACTATAATATGAACGTTCATACAACGAATAACTCGATTATGGTGAATTTATTCTTGTCATTTATTTGTTATCATCAAATTTGAATATTCTAAGAATATATTAGTATGCAGGTCAATTTATCACCACCACGAAAAAGCCCGTGTCAAAATATGTATATATTATCATAATGTACAATGTGTATGATATGATGAAGACCATAACTTTTATTTTATTTTATCAAAAAAAAAAATTATTATATATAATTTGATTATAAGCAGAATATTTTCTATTATTCTAGCAGCCGTGAGTTGTCGGACTTCATCCCGGTTGTTAAGTCATTAAGTGTGGAGTTGAAATATAAAGATGACACGAACTAATAAATACCGATTGATGGGCCGAATATACAATATATCGACATAGTCTAGCCATACACCTTATAAATAATGAATGTGTATTGTTTAAAAATATTACTAACTACTAAAAAACATATAAACATTAAGGGATGGTAAAATAATTACCCCTAAATTCATTTTTATCGAATAATTAAATATATTTGCAAATACATAACGATACATATATTTGTGTATTATTATAAAATCTATAAATGAAACACCTCAGCTACATTGATTATCGATTAATGATTCACCAGGCATGTGACAATCATAAATGACCTCTTTGCTGACATTCAGATTGATGTTTGCGAATGACGTTGTCATATATTATACAGGATGTTCAACAACGATTCTACAAATGAAATAACTTTTGTTGTAGTGAATATTTTTAAGATTTTTTTTTTTTTTAATTAATTTATATTCATTTGCGCTATATATAAGCACTAAGTTTTTTATTGCACTTAACTATTTAACTTTTTTAAATTATTTTTTTTTTTTTTTTTTAGTTACGTTTTTTTAAAAAAATTCAAGATAGCCATTTTGTCAAGAATAATTTGCTCGAAATTTTGACTGGTCGATAACCAGATTTGGATGATTACTTTTTAAATTACTAAAGTTCAAAAGGTAGGATACTAGGTGGAGTGCGATAGAGTAATGCGTGCAGATAAAAATAGCTCTACGCGTTTACTTTACCGGTGATTTTGTCCTACACGGATGTCATTTTAAGATCCGCGGTGTTTTTAAGAGCGGTGTTCTAGGAACGTTAGACGATCTCGATATTAGACTTACTGGCTCAACCCCACAGTTGAATACCATAGATAGTACAAAATAAAAAGTCTACTATTTTATTTAGATCACGGTGAGTTGATACCCCACTAAATCACCTTTTTATTTTAAAGTACCTAATTAAGCAATACGCTTTCACAATACGAATTTTTCAATTGTAATTAAATAGGGAACAAAAACCAATTTAATAATTTATTTTATTTTAACTAAATACACAATTGAAAATCAAATACATTGAGAACAATAGAAATGCATAAATTGTCCCATTGAATATGTGTAGTAAGCGGCCATAACCCTGAAAAAAATAATAACTGTTAATATTGTATTTTGAATAAAATCTCCAATTACAATAAGAAATGCTTTGAATAACCACAATGTTAATAATTTAAATTTTCATCTGTTCTGTTACAATAAAGTTATTTTTAAAGTAAAAAAATCAATTGTACCCTGCAATCGTAAAATATGTGGTATTTTAGTAAAGAATACCAGAGAAAACAAAACAATAAGTATTTAAGTACAGCACCTAAAATAGAGTAAAACATAAGTAAGAATGCTGGAATTAGTTTAAAAACTAGTGTTGATTTGATTTTCGGAAATTATTCGATGAAATATTATCATACCATGTTTTTAAATCATAATTAATTAAACCTCCTTGAGTTAATGACTTAAGATAGAGTTAAAATACTATATTTTTTTATTAAAGAAAACAACTATTATACATCGGATAAATTTTATGGGTATACACTATACACGTATTTTATGTCTTTTTATAGCTCGAGCAGAATTTCCAGGTTCATTGAGAATATATCGACGAATTCCTAACACAAATTTATTTTGTAAAATAAATGTTAAATGTAGTATAAGTAATAACTTTTAATTTTTTTAATTAAAAGTTAACTGTATTCTGATTTTTGGTAAACAAATAATTGCAAACATTTTACAATATCTTACGATAAAAAATCTCGGACACTATGTATCTATTTGGTTAATAATATGATCCAAGAAAGTTTTACTCAAATCCTCGATCCACTGATTCATATTTTTGTTTGTTTGACAATTTATAGATTAATTGATTTTATTTTAATACTAAATAAATTAGTGACACAAAATTTAAAAAAAATATCTGCCGCCGGTAAACATACGCGTCGCTGGGCGCTAAATCGGCGATTTTAAAACGTCTGTAACTTCCAAACTAAGTGCGATAGGCGCAAAATATTTGCAGATTCCTAATCTACATGAAAAGTATTATCTATTCAAAACAAATGATAGATGATAGGTATACCTTGGCTTTAGTGGTTCGTCCCGAAGGGATCCCTTACGACCGCGGACCGACTAGTAGCACTGGGTGCTAATTGCGGGCCGGGGAAGATGTGTCTCAAGAAGAAGTGACCTGTCGGAAGGCTCACGTTAGTCGCCTTTTACGACAGGTGTGAAGACCTTGGTAGAATTCGTTCTCCCCTAACCACAGGGATCTAAGTAGAACTGATAGTAAAAATCGAATGACATATTTTAAATCAGTACTTAAAATACAATCAATACCAGCAGGAAATTCTTTTGTGACTTAAGACGTTTCTCAAGTGACCGATTCAATTATTAAATTATTACCCATGGTTTCAATAAAACCAAAATAACAAATGGTATTAAATAAGTGTGTATTATAATAAATTATCATAATATGTATGTCCATCAATGGCTTGTTTGACACCGTAAACAACGAAGTTAACTAAATTTTTTTTATTGTTTGCATAGGTTATTATCATATATACTTATAAATCAATGTAAAAAATCAATCCAACAATTAAAACATGCAACGATAAGGTTTTTTATTTCATTAGTGATATTATGACAACGACTTCCTAATATCCTAAGCAAAGACGAGTATATCCGGCTAGAATTAATCTAAACGCGCATAAGTATGCAAAATTACGGGTCAGACGATATAGGCTATGGGTTGACCTAAGGACCGAAATAATAATATTAATTATTGTGTTTAGAGGTCATCAGAAAATAGTCGTTTTCACAATAATCCCCTCACTTAAGTTCATAATATAATTTTTAATAGTATATGGTATTCACAACAAGCCATACATTTATTAAAATTGTATATTTTATTATACTAATAATTAATAAAAAATAATTTCTAGTTAATATCATGTATAAATTATAATCTATAAAAAATTGTTTAACCGTTTTTTTAGAAGCGTGCCAAACAGTGGTTATGATCAAATTGGCTACTTTGTTTTCTGGAACGATCATCGCAGGAGCATCTTTATCCATTAGGTTTACACGTATTGCACCTATACCTAAACAGAGTCCTGGTACGCTGAAGTAATTTTTAAATCAGCCAACTATTGGCTCATCTGCAGTTAATTTTTTTATTAATTATCGATTACCGGCCTGACAGTGCTTATTGGCATATCATAGCCGTACAGCTTGACTAGATTTTCGGCAATGTACATGTATTACGCCATGTTCCTAAACATCTAAAAATTAATAAAAAGGGATTGTTAAGAAAAATATTACTTAATACTAAATAATGTTCGAACATTCGGGGTGGACTAGCCACTAGTCATTACAATAATTACACTGTCTAGGGCCGGTAAGAAAATATGGGACCTACGACTAACTGTGGAAACTGGACCATTACCCAGTACTAACAAAATAAAAAAATGAATGCATCGGTCATTGAAATTCAATTAATGTTCAACAAATGCCTGTCTTGTGTGATACTTTTCGTTTTAGAAAAATTCATTTCAATGCACTTGTGGCTAGAACCCACAACTAAAATATTTCGACCCTGCCATCAATCGATTAAACTTACTGTTTTGTTATAGATTCCATAAATGATTCGGAAAACGTCTCGGTGATGCTTATTAGTGTATCCCCTGGTATGCGACAGTCATAAATAATCTCTTCGCCGACTTTCTGATTACTGTTCGCAAATGCCGTTGACACATACACAAAGGACTAAAAATATTAAATATTTACAGTTTAAATTTAAAATATGTATAATATTATCGAATTGTGGTGTTTACTTTCAAATGGTGTAATCGACAAGCGATTAATAATAATAAATCCCTAGTGGCTAGTGGACATGACATTGATAAACGCGGTCCGTCTGAGCGATCCGTTGAGATTAATCGTGGCAGCGCAATGGATTATTATGTCCATATTGCGAATTATGTATTCTTCGTCGATTGGCGATAAACCTTAAATTTGGTTTTGCACAATCTCCAAGTACCAATGTAACTTTATCGGCGAAACCGGGCTGCTCGCTCCACAGTTGGCCGTACAACTAAATTATAATACATTACTCTTTAATCATTTCGATGGAAATTATCTAAACAAAACTAGTACTATCCGGAATACAAAACATTTCGTTTGATCAAGTATACGATTTTTTAGTTTTTTCTTGAACTCAATAACAAAAATACATGTTTCACTGGACATGATCAAGAAGCATAATTTTAAAATTAACTATCCGTAAAAATAAAATAAAAAATTGTTTCAGGTCAAACATAGTTTTGAAATCCTTTAAATATATTTGGAAGTTTTGATTATGTATATTTCAAACTTCTTACTTTATTACAGTTCGATTTGAAAAAATTAGCTCATCGGCTGAACCAATTTCTAAATAAAATTTGACGTACTTAAGCTTTTATAAAATGAAATAATGTTTTGACTGATCCTATTTCTGGGCGTTTTTAAGGAGGGAAAATCGGTTGGGTAATTTTAAAGATCATTTGTAACTAAAATTTATTAACTCCAATTTTCCCTCTCAAACTGAAGCACCGTCACTTCCGTGTCACAATAGTTAATTTTTAATTTTGTCTTAAGAGTTTATATGATTTTATTGTGTTCCTTTTTTTTCATTTATAAAATATATAGTTTTAATATTTCTAAGTGTGCATCTAATTTCTCAAAAAAAAAGAAGTAAAATAGTTGCACTTCAATTCTGCAGTTCAAAACCACTGAGAGTAAAGAAAATTGTACTTACTTTAATTTTACGTACTTGAGAATTTTTTCCTGAATCCTGTTGCTCCAGTAATGAATACATTTTTTACCGGCAAAGAATCGTTGAATTTCTCTAGTAGGTTTTTTAAACTTTGTTGCCATTTTTACTTAATAATATTTAATTTACTTAAAAGCTCACAAAAAAATAACTGAAACGTTTACCTGTTAGTTGTTGTTATTGTTACTCCTTTTAGTATGTAGAACTAAAACCACACAATTGTGTCTTTATAATTTATGTATTATAATTTATTACTTATAAACGTCTACACATTGATAATAGTCAGGTCAAATAAATATGTGACACAGGATGTCAGAATTATATTTGTATTCATAAACAAACTATTTACATAAATTGTGTATTAAATATATTAACTGTATTTATTATAGTAATTCCGAATTATAATAAAAAACAATTAATATAATTCTAAAATACCGCTGGTGATAAGGGTGTTTTTTTAAATGTTCTTAGTTAACTTTATAGTTAACTACAAATTGAGCACAGGAATTTTCTAGATGTTCATACTGTAGTTGATACATTTTCTTTATTTATATTTTCAGAATCGTGCTCACTGCTGAGTAATGATTAATGTCATCTAATAAGAATTTAATATTTAGGGTTTCAGGCTTAATTAGGATACCCCCATATTCGTAATAATTTTTCCTAAAAACTACAATAATTTATATAAGAATCCTACATTAAAAAAAAAAACAGTTATTTTTTTTATTATTAATATATGATTTTTAACAATAATTTGTAACCTAATTTTTAAAAATTTACCTATTTTATCTTAGTTTACCATAAATATAAAATGTTTAAGCAATTGTTTTTATTATTTTTGTTGTATACCTACTAGTAATCATCAAAATGATGAAGAGGCACGACAACACCTTGCAAGGTAGACCATATGATTATATATTTTTTTTAATTTGTCTATCTGTGTGGCGTGCTGAATACGTTGCATATAATAAATCACTATTTTTAAAATTTTTTTTAGATTTAATATTTTATTTTATTATTGTGTCGTTTATGTTTATATATATTTATATATACAAAAAGTAATAATCTAATGTACTTAAACACAATATTATCAAAATAAAATATTTTGTAGGTTCTGTAATGTAACCAACTAAAAGTAAGTAGATAGGTATGGTATTTTATTGTAATTAAACACTAATATAACAAATATTATAACACATTTCTTTTCCTTAAAAAATACATTTCAATACATATTTTAATATAAAATAAGCGATATAAAATAAAATCGTATAAATCATTCCGTTTACTACGTAGTAAGCAATCATAATTCTGAAAAAAAAAAATATTTTAGATACTAAATTACTATAATTAAATAATAAACTGTACCTATACATAATATAACATAACACACGAATAACGTCGAATTTACGTAATTTAACAGTTAATTAACTGAATAAGATAATTAAATAATTAACCTTACTGTAATATCGGACCTTGAATAATAAAATAAAAATACAAAAAAAAACCAAGAAAACTAATAGATACACTAAAAGTTAACACGTTGGTCACTTTTAATGACGTTATTAACAGTATAATTTTATTTTAATTAAAAATATATTTTTATAAGTAAATTTAAAATTATTATAAACAACTACAATACTAAGTAATATTACGGAAGTGATATTGTAGTTTCCAATTATTAACTCCAAACATTAAGTTTTTAAAATAAAGTAATTATTTTTTATGTTGAAAAATTACAAATTTAGATAGCCATTAGAGTAAGAAACAGTTCAGAAGTCACTATGAAAATTAAACACAAAATTGTATTGACCAAAAAAACAATTCAAATGTATTAATTGATAAATACTGAGCATCGTTTTGAAGGGACAACTATGGGGAGGTTTAAAATAATAATAATAATAATATGTAACCATACTTTTGGTGTCTTTTTACGGCTGCGGGAATGGTTGAATCGAGTTCGTTCAAGACGCTTCTCCTAACTCCATAGACAGCTTCCAGTAAATAAGTATCCCAGTTAATTAATGTTATGTCCATATCGAATAGTATTTTGTCTTTTGCGCTTTGATTTTTAATTAAAGTTTTCAAATTTTGATCGTCAAAAGCAAAATGTCCAGTAGAAAAGTACTGCATTTCTTTGGTCATCGTGTAAAGTTTGGTGCAAAGTGGCACTACCCTACAAAAGTTATACACAAATTGAATAACAGAAAACTAGGTATGCTCATAATCGTTATTAATTATTAAAAACTAATATGTATATTTACCTAAACTCCTTTCCACTGATCCGCAGGATTATGTCAACAAAAAAAGCTGGTATGTAATGGTAACAAAAAAACAAAAATTTGTAAAGCGTTTCGGATTTGGTCAATGTGATATTTGGATACCATACCTAAATTACATGTACAAATTTCAATTAATAATTATAAAATAGACAGCTTACTTTATTTAAAGGCGGTAATATTTTGGCTAAAAACATTGTATCTAACAACAGAATCGAAAATCTCGTTAAACTTATTCTAGATCGTTAAATGAATTACTATGTACTTTTCACAACCATGTTACCAGTAGAAAGAATCTTACGAACTGATGTGCTAATTTTTTCATTTGTTCTTTTTTTTATCTAATGAAGAATTGATATTTACACCAAAAAACAATACATTTTAGAAGTTTGAATTCTTCTTCTTCTTCTTATCGTGTCCATAAGTTAAAGATGCGTTGAAATTAAACTGTTCGTTGCTATGTCTTGGCCGCGTTTGTTGCTGTAATGGTATAGGAGCATGTCACGTAGTCTCTTTCTCTCCACATTCACAGTCTGCTGGTTTGACTGTGTCATACGTTTTGGTATTTTTTCCTCTTTTCGACATTGATTGAAAAATAATAATATCCATTGGAGCGTCTTTGTTTCAAAATGTTCAATTTGTCCGTTTGCATATCGTCAATTCCTGGTGCTTTCCCGGTTTTCATTTTTTTCAGTCCTTATTCAGTTCCTCTATGTTAAATTAATTTTCGATGTGGGATTTTTCGATTTCTCTTTGTCTGATTATTTTATCCGACCTTACTACCTCTTCCGGTTTTCCATTATTCGGGAGTATTATAGTTTGATTTTCAGTTATATGAATATAGTACTAATAGGTTTCAGCTTTTTTAAAATTGTAATTATCATAATTTAAAAATAATAAGTGCTACAAAAAACGAAACGATATTTGTAAAGTACATGTTGCCCTTTAACACAATTATTTTATTTTGGTTCCATTTGTTTTAAAAAGAAGCTTATTTATATAAAAGGACAGGAAAATCTCATATTTAACGAGTTACATTAAGCCTCCATTTATCGACATATAATCACTGAATATTCCTTGTATTATCTAAAAATAAGATAAATGAATTTATTTTAGAATATGATGAGCAGTACATTTGACACGCCACATAGGCTGTACAAAATTAGAGGGGCTTAACGACAGATGGCAGACAAAGAATAGAATGGAGTTAAATCGTTGCTAGTTTACATTCTTTAAAATGATTCATGGAACTTTCATAGAAACTGCAAGAGATAGTTTGTTCTATGCAACTTTGAGAACTAATTGTGACCATCTTAGGAAGCATACCGTTTTGCACGACATCACGTTTGAGAAGTACTTACTTGTTTTTCAGAATGTATCTTATTTTTTAGTTCAGCGTTTAAGATATTTTCCAAACATTGAGCGTAGGTTAATGGGTTTTGTGTGTTATTCGGCACAAAGGTGAACACGGAAATAAGTGAGTTTTGACTGAAAAAAAAAAATAACAAAAGTTAAGTAGGTATACCTACACCAATTAAATTTTAAAATTGTTTTTCTTTCAAGTTTGATATTTTTACACTACGGTATAATTGATGGCCCGTGAGTAGAACAGTTACAAAAATGTAATCGTTAAGCGTATTTTCGGGGTGGTTCGCTTTATAATATGTTTGTGTGTGTAATCGTTTTGAGATAAGTACCGTCTTTTAGAAGCGTGCCAAGCAGAAGTGATGATGAAGTTTGCCACTTTGTCGGCTGGTACGATCGGGGCAATAACTTTGTTATCTAATAACACTACACGAACTACACCTAACCCCACTCCTAAGCACAGGCCAGGAACGCTTTTCATCGATGTAAACCAACCGGCCATCGGTTCATCTTTGGTGAACACGACTGTCAAGAAAATTGCATATTTATTACAAACAAAATATGCATGATATATTATTATACAACTAATAAAATACTATACTCACCGATTGATGGTCTGGCTATACATATCGGCATGTTTTCACCGTACTGCTTAACTAGATTTTCCGCTACACATTTTGACAATGTATACGTATTTGGCCATGTCCCTAAGCACCTTTATAATCATTTATTGTATCGTCTTAAAAAAAATTATCGAATACTTATCATTATTTCTATATTATCCAATGACTTCATACTCGTTTGTTATGGAATCCATCAACGACTCTGGCAGCGTCTCAGCCATTTTGATTAATGTATCTCCTGATATGTGACAGTCATAAATAATCTCTTTGCAAATTTCTTGATTGGGATTGACGAACGCGGTCGAAACGTAAACAAAGGACTAACCATTTTTTTTTTTTTTTTTTAAAAAAGGTAAAATTAAAACAGAACGGGTATTTAAAAGTTATATTTTAAATCAAGGTTCCGTTAACCGTTATTTATTCGTTCAGTTCAAAATTATGTTCATGAACGTTAACTAGGAATAACGTTATAACTTTTTTTCCCGAGAACGTTATACCGAATAACGTTTTTAGTTTATTTGTTCCGAGAACGTTATAACGAAAAACGTTTTAAATTTATTTGCTCCGAGAACGTTGTACCGAATAACGTTATAATTTGTTTTACCCCGAAATGTTAAAACGAATTTTGCTAAGTTAGGCTAGGTTAGCAAAAATAGTGATAAAGAATAATGTAGTAAACATTTTGACTGGTCGATAACCAGTTTTAGATCACTATTTTTGCCAACTTAACCTAACTTAGCAAAATTTGTGTTAACGTTCCCGGGGTGAAACAAATGATAACATTATTCAGTATCACGTTCTCGGACCAAATAAATTTAAAACGTTTTTCGTTATAACGTTCTCGGAACGAATAAACTAAAAACGTTATTCGGTATAACGTTCACCAAACATATCCTAATATTGTGTTATGTTCTGAGAACTTTATTTTGGTGAACGAAATAATTGAGTTTATAACGTTATATTTCGTTACGTTACGGAACCCTGTTTTAAATAGGGGGGAGGTAACTGTTCAATTTTTTATCTCTTGCTAAATTCCAACTCGCAAGTTTATATAAGATTATAGTATTTACTCCAACCAAAACAATGTGTACAAGTACGTATTTTAATAAACCGGCTGTAGCCGGGTCGTTGCGCAGTGCGCGGCCGCCCGAAATCGCGAACTTCAAACGTCTGCAACTCCGAAAGTAAGTGCGAGCGGCAAAAAATTCATTTGCAAAAGTTTATCAACATTAAAAGTACTATCGATTAAAAAAAAAAAAAAAAGGGGTGCCCGGTAAACTAGATTTATACCTTTAATAATATTAATTACTTTTAACTGGGATATTCGACGAGCGATCAATAATAAATCCCTAGTGGATCTGACATTGATGAACGTGGTTCGTTTGAGCGATCCGTTGAGATTAATCGTGGCCGCGCAATGGATTATTATGTGCATATTGCGAATTATGTATTCTTCGTCGATTGGCGATAAACCTAAATTTGGTTCTTCGCAATCTCCGTTTATCAACGAAACTTTATCGATGAATTCTGGCTGCTCACTCCGCAGTCTGTTGTACAGCTAAAATACATAGGATTTTATTCAAACGTTATTACGAGGCTGGTTAATTTCACATAAATTGGTAATCGCGATACTGACCGGCATGCTAAACATTTCGTTTAATCTGGTATTGGCATTTTTCCCTTTTTTCTGTCTGACTAATAAATATACGTGTTTCACCGAGCACGCTCTAAACAAATAAAACGCGAGTTATTTATCTGGAATGTATTGTATTGTATGTGCAGTAGCGCTAGTTTTTGATCATACAATTTATTTGAAAAATTAAAATAACTCTTTTCCTTTCTCAATTTTCTTTTTAAATACCACGAATGAAACAAATTATACTTTTTCTTTCTCTAAAAAAAATTTTTTTTTGAAATTTCTAATTTAAGTCCTTTATTATTTGATCATTTTGATGTACCTGAGTATTTTTTCAAGCAATACACTTCCAACGAACCCTGTTGATCCAGTAATGAACACATTCGCACCGGCAAAAAATTGTTGAATTTCACTTTGAGATTTATCAATCATGGCTGTCATTTCAGTTTAAGTAATCAATTAAAATAAGTAAATAACAAGACGTGTTGTTATAAACGTCAAAACAAGTGTTTGAACATTTAACGTGTGAATTGACTTAGGAAATGATAATATAGCCACAATAGCACATTAAATATTTAAATTGATGGTATTGTAGTAGCTGCACTATGACGTTTAATTTTATTCCTCCGTTAAATATTAATGATATTATTATGCAGGGCTTCACGAAAATAGATAGTTTTAGTTGTTTATTAACATTTAATGGACCAATCGCGGTCCACTGACGAAATAAATAGGTATAACCTAAATTAAATAGGTATTTAATGATTCGTCGAACACATAACAAACACAACTGTACACATATTATGCACTATACACTACGCAACTAGAAATTATTTAAATTTTATTTTAGTAATATGATGCCATTCTAGTAGGTATGAATATTTTAAACGTTAATGTTGATATGCAAGTTTATTTGACTATTATTGCTAACATTATTATCCTAGACAAGAACAAAGAATGTATTCATATAAACTTAACATTAGGCTGTCAGCAGCACTACTTTTCCAAATAGTTACATTTTATAAATATTAATCTTTTATAATCAATTACTTAATCGAAGCACCAAAAATCAAGTTTTTTTTATTTTCTGCTGGCTCATTCAAATGAACCCGGTTTTTTAAGAAAATTGAAAATGTTACAGGGCCACACTTGATCTACATTAAGTCTTATTTTGAGACCTTAAGTCCCAAAACTACACCTAAAAAGCGAAATAAAGAAAAAGTTCCCACCTCTCCTGGGGTAATGGTTTTTGATATATTTTCGATTTTTCAACGTATATTGATAATACTATTTATAAAAAAAATATTCCATACAAGTTTGGGAGTTATTTGATTATTTTTAAAAAGTTATAGCGCGCCACATTTTTAATTTTAAAAATATATTAACATTTTGGGAATTTTTATCGATTTCGATGGCGAAGCGGTTAATTTGTTTTAATTGTTGGCATCTAAAGTACATTTTAGGTACGATTTCTGATCTACAGATTTGACATAAAAAAAAATGGTTAAGCGGTTTAGGCGATCCGGTAAAAGAAAAACACACCATTGCAAAAACAATACCTTCTCAGCTCCGCATCAAAGCTTAAATGAAATGTTTATACATAGGATCATTTTTTGACAATATACTTAGTTACTTTTTCGTAACTGATTAAAATAAGCAGATGAAACGAATTTATTTTTAAATTGTACGCGTTATTCGCACATTATCGAATATAGGTAAGATTGCTTTAAACATATTCATAAAAATTAAAATGCTCTTTTGTTCACTTTACAGCTGACTCAATTGACCCGAGTTCCTGTATTTGTTTGGAACGTTATTAGTTATTTTAATTGTAGCATCCGTTTTACTAGAGTGTATTTCTTTTAATACTTAAAATATGCAAAATACTAATTTACATTGACTACATTGTGTTTATGTAAAAATTACAGTTAGCTACAGGTACCATACTTAAAAATAATATGTTTGTGTTTTATCATGGATAATAATTTCTTTGTACAAAATAAATTATATATTAGTTAGGTATGTCAAATAAACGATGAAAACATTTGTATTATGTTAATCGGGCAATGATAAACTCCTAAATAATACATTTAACCCTATCCAATTATATTTTAGTGTTTACAAATGACTTTTCTAGTTAATATTTTTCTTGAATATTTGAATTGTTATCATTTAAAAAAATAAAATTTTAACGGTAAATCTGAAATTATCCGTTCTATTTATATATTTTTATAAATTAATACTTACAAACATTTATACACTAATAGACACATTTTGAGGTAAAAACAACGCTAAGAAGTAAATAAAAAGCCAATTTGTTAAATACATACAACAAATAAATTATGTTAAATCGTTTATTAAACAAAAAACATAAAATATAATATTGTGATGGAAAAAATGAAAATAATGAAATTGTAGTGTATAGTAATCAGTCTGAAAAAAACAAAGAGTTTACATAAGTTTCACAATTTTATAAAACGTAATCATTTTTTCACAAAACTATTTTAAATATTGATTAAAAAAAAAATCATAAAAATTACTAATTAAATATTTAATTAAAAATTAAGCTATATATTAAGATAGATAGATAAATTAAGCTTTAATAACAGTGCATTTTTTTAGTCAGAAACTTATATTATTCTTGAAAAATAGTCACTTGAATTATACATATATTGGAAAATTACAAACATATAAATAGTTTCTCCATAAATCACCTTATACAAAATATAAGAAATAGATTTACAAATAAACATTTAACATAAATCATGATGTTATAATACGTATGCCAGGCTCTAAATTATTGTTTTTTTTTTTTAATTGAGGCATAACTCTAGTTGCATCATAAAGTAATAATTTTAAATGTTCATTAGGTAGCAGCTAAGATAAAATGGACGGAGAGGAAAAATCGGAGATTTATAAAATACAACGTGAAGAATGTTATGTGTATCTCAGTTAAAAATTGTATTTTGTAGCTTACTACCATTTTTTTTGACAAGGTAAAAACCATTCGCATTGTACCCAATTTATTTTTGGCGCAATTTACAACTGCCCACAAGTAAGATACACCCTGCACTACACTATACAATCGAGGCGGACGAAGACAATCGCCCGACGTTTAACACAATAATACGCTCTCCGTGTTACAGATTTACCTCTTAATTGTTCTGTTCGAGGCAGTCCTATGTAAACGATTTCCCATCAAGTACACTTGTAGACCGCGGACGTACCTATCGAAGTAATCGTGCCAAGACAACGTGTTAATGTCAAAACAAAACAAGATTTTATCTCTGGCCGACAACTTGTTCATCAGCCGAAAGACGTTTTGATTGTAACACTTTAAACGCATTTGCTGATAGGCGTTCAAATGTTTGGCGGACACGTGTACTCGCTTGTAAAATTCGTTTAACCTGTAGAATACAAATTTGATAAAACAAAAAAAATACCTTCGTCGTCAAGTGTCATCGACAGATTTGTTTTGTATTTTTACACTTACCTGGGCTCTTTGCCGAGCACCCAAAGGTACGTGTCGACCACGTTACCCGGTATGGTGTGTAAAAATAACGAAATGACCCAATACAACAGTGTATTGCCGGTGACAAAATATAATGGCAAGCTGCAGTACTGAAACAGTTACGTCGGGTTCAAAACGTACAGTGCGACACGATGAAATATTATGAATATCGAACCATCGAACGGCATTTATTACATTATTTGGCGACGACACTCTTTTTTCGCTTTTGAAAAACTTTTCACCCAACTGCTTCCACGTGCAACACTTGTAGTTGGACGACACATAGTTGTAGATGATCATTTCCTTGTTGTCTCTGGGAACTTCCTGGTTGACAACGTCGGACCTGCATGCGTTAATAGTCCGATAACAATGCGAATACACAGTTTACGGTAGCTAACTAAAACCATTCACACTCAACGGGGTAACCGTACATGGTGCCCACAATATCCCAGCAAGCGGCTAAAATCAGATTCACTAGCATGTCGACGGGCACGATATCGGCATTGACGTTGGGTCCGTGGAAAATCCGAACCAAGCCCAGCCCGGATCCTAAAGCGCAACCTGTCAAGTTATTCAGATGATTCGTCCAACCGGCTATCGGTTCGTTAGCGGTGCCCAACACTGGAAAACAGCATAGAATTTATGACATATGACACCCATTTACTTTCACCGTTAGCTCTCCAAGTTCCTAAACTTTGTGGACGTCAAAAAACTGTCAAGTTCTTGTGGATTCCAAGTCGCGGTGATAATATGTCACGATAAATCTTACAGCAGACCGCTTTGCTATTAAATATCTCACTTTTTCTACTTTGTTTCCTTTTGAAACTTGCCTTTCGTCTTACCTGAACACAGTTCTCCAAAATGTTTAACTTTCTAAAAGATTCTATCATCCTTCAATTTTCACCGCATGCCATAAGATGATTTTTCTTTCGATTATTCCTTATCATCACTGGTTCCGAAAACTTGACCAATCTACAGAACAATTATAGTTTTTTTTTCTCGACGACGTCTTGCTCCGAATTTCCTCTTTTTTGTTTCTATTAACTCTACCTTGACTCGTCTCCATACGTAAATTCGTGGTAATGATGTGTGATTTATATCATACGCTTTTCAGCCTACTCCTCTATTTCAAATACGAGTAGAACAACATTTTTTCCCAACCTACTTGTTTACTCTTTTCCTGACATATTACTATGTTTCCTTTTAACATACAACCACTTCCGAGTAATAATTATTTTTTTGACATTTATTCGTAGTGCTAGCATATTGATGATTATTAAATGTGATTGTATGGTGGGGTGGGAGGAGGGTGGTATTATACATACCGAATCCTGGTCGAATGATACAAGCCGGAAAATCATGACCGGCCGAACGTATGACTTGTTCAGATACGGCTTTGGTGTAAGTCACCACGTCTGGCCATTCGGACAACAGTCTAAAAAGTTAACAAATCCCCTGAGAACGTGAATTTACAAAGTCTATCTAAATTATACAACAGAACTATATTGTATACTACTAGGTTGTATGCACTTGCCCAGTGGACAAACGGTTAAGAACGTGATCGGGTATCGTTTCGGCCATGTGTACCAGTGTGCTGACGGGCATGGGGAAACTGTAGAACTGTTCGTGAACTTCTGAGATGCCGTGATGAGCGAACACCGACGAAATATGTATGAAAGCCTAAAACAAACATCAAGAGCCGGTATAATTCGATAACCCAAGGTAGGCAGAAACTATCAAAGTATCATTAAGTCTAAATTACATTACATTGTTAAGTTAAACAAATTAATAATTGATATTCTCTTTGCAAATGTAGTTATAATAAATAGATCGAATTTTACCAAGATGTAATTTTATAGGTGCGTTTCAATTTATGAATGTATCAGTATATTATTAGGTAAAAATAAAGACCTTGAGGTTTGGAAAACGTTTAGCCAAAACGACAAGATCGATAGTGGCCCGGACGTTCGTGTAAATGGCAGAGCGCAGAGTGCAATTGCTGTTGGCAGCTATCGACGCCAGATGGATAACGACATTTATTTTGCTACTCAGTTGTCTTAAGTCCTCTTCAGCGATTCCTATGTTTGGACTTGCGCAGTCGCCGCAAATCACCTGCACGTGATTGACGTAGCCAGGATTTTCTATTTTCATCCGGTCAAACAGCTTAAATATTATTAGAAATAAAATCAAAATGTTATTACAAATACTTGCAATTTAAATCAAGTTTTAAGATAAAATATTACATATAACACTATGTAATCCAGTATTAATACAGTAAAACATGTAAGTAACAAGTAACGGTAAAAAATTGCATTCTTTTAACCAAATCGGTTAAAAATGTGCACAAGTTTATGACTCTCTAAACGAGTCGTATCTCTAATACTAAACTCTAATAGGATTACACGGAACGCTTGTGAGTAAATCGTTCTCGAAGAAGGACATTTTTGTACAATAAATGGGTTTGTTGTGGCTATGCTATTTACAATTTATGTTTATCAATTGTTTTGGAAAAATACTGGTAAATTTTAAGGTAAAAGTAGAAGTAATTTACAATTTTATATTAAAATTTTTATGAAGATAATATTACTTAAACTATTATTACATTTATCCAATATCTCATTTTTAAATAAATCACAAGCTGGGCTGGGTATTATGTTTAAGTAAAAAACTAGAATGAATTCACGTGGCTATACCTCAATATGATAAACTCAGTTTTACGATAATATAAAAACTTGATTATAAAAAAAAAACCAAAGAACTAAACATTAATACCTATGAAGTTTTATTTAAAGTTAAGCAGTAAATTTGAAAACACTTTATTTATTTTAAAATTTTAATTGGCGTTTTTATATTGTGCCGTTTTGTGTACTTTTCAAGGAAAACTTTTTCTCTTTCGACGTTATGTAAGAATTGTAGAAATGGAGTTAAGATTTCAAACCTATACTGAACACCCTGTGTAATGTATGTATATATTTTTCATAATTTTTGGTTTATAGGTAATTAATATTATTTTTTTTTTAATTTTGAAAATTGTTTCCTTGATTTTAAATTAATAATACTCTATAATAGGAACTAATACTGTTTTATTAGATACTTCTTAGACGTTCCTTAATTCCAAAAAGTGGAAAAAAAAGTATTTTACTAAACATATATAAAACATTCGCCTCATTTGTAAAGAAATCGGATTTTTAGAATTTCGTCTCACTACTTAAATAGTTAACAAGGAGAAACTTTCCATGTTATTTAAATACAAAACATTTAACGAATAGTGATACTGGTAATGGAGTTGGTATGCATTTTTTTGGAAATATTTGTTATCATCATCGGGTCTTGAATGGACTTCTGAAAGAAACTATTATCGTAAAAGAAGACAAACGAAGACCCTAATGGAGATGTTTATCTTTTACAATGCCTAAAGTATTTTCTAAATTATTCTTTATTGTTATTTAACTGTTTTTAACTAAACGTACATTATTAATTAGGTTTTTGGACATTCCAAAATATATATTACACTAGAATGATGTCATCATATTTTGTTTTCATTTAATTGCTTTTGTAGTTTTAAGAAGGTATAGAGTGGATGTTGCTGTAGTGGGGTTAAGGGGTGACGAAAATTGGTAGTCGTTGTTTGGAAATTATCCGTGTTTTACAACCATTGTTGGTTAACTATGAACATACAAATATTCCCCTGGTATTTTATACTTTGTATCCAATTTCTATATAGTTTCTTATTATTTTTACATTTGATATTAATTCATTATATGAAATTTTAATACAGTTCTCTCGGGAGACTGAAGACATTTTTGGAGGCGTGGGACCTACTACTCCTTACCCCTCCCAGCCCGTATGCATACGCCACTGTATTTGACGGGGTACCAGATAAAAAAATACGAATTACCGGACTGGTAAACATTTCTTTGACTCTTTCGTGAGGGGTTTGTCCGTTTAAAGGCCGAGCAACAACATAAATCATATTCAATTCACGGCAAGATCTGAAAACAAAATAAAATTCTCATTAAACACCGGTGTAAACGCAATACATTGTTTTGTTGATTAACCTCAACAGTTTCTCGATTACTACTTTGCCGACAAATCCGGTGCCGCCTGTTATGAAAATGTTTGACCCTCTAAAACATTTCTGCACTTGACTTTCCGGCGACTCTTGAAGATCGTTTATGAAATCCTGTATAAAAATATCACCACCTTCCATCATTGCACGATCGTCGTCTATTGGTTCGATAAAAACTCTAAACTACCTAAACAACGTCTCGCTACAAACTACAGAATATTATAATACCGTGGTCATAGCGCTAATTTATGTACACCATATGAACCAATATTCTATGAATAATTCATTTTGTAATGTCAGAAAGTATAACACCTAATCGCGGTCAATTGTTTAACGGAGTGGACGCCTCACCACTTTTTTAAACATGTCTAGAGAAACTCACTTTTCTAAAGACCCGAACAGTTTTATCGTAAAACACATATATATGCCAAATTTAAAGATCGAAACTTAATCTAAATTTTGAGATAGAAAATGTTTAATCATTACATTTCTGCTTAAGTATAAAACTTTGTGTTAATATAAAACATTTTACCTGAATATTGTGCGTAATAACTAATAACATAAATAAACAAAATTTGCTGTTCAATAATGAAAACAATTGATGTAGATTGTAATAACTGTAATATGTTTTACTTGGTATTACAATAGGTAGTTCTTATTGTTGGGTATAATAACAGATCAGTTTATCACTCTACCACATGAAACTTATGGTTTATAAGTTTTATGACAAATATTGAAAATGCATTTAAAAAAGTATACATTTTTTTATTAGTACAAAAAAGTTAAAAGCTACCTTATCAATTATAAATGCTGACATGGTTAAAACAATAGTTTCAGGTATTGTAAAAAATACATTCATAATCAAATTTTTACATAAAGAACACATAATTGGTCTGAAACCTTAGGATACTACAAAAATGAGATTACAGAGAAAAATCAATTACATTTTTAAAAAATTACCGCAACAAATTAAAAACATTTATTTTTCTTACATTCGGACCACTTTTTTTTAGGCGTCGTACTATCTTGAAGTTTTAGTTGATCACCGTTCACACACACAAAGTCCTAAAAACAAAAACAAAATAGATAGATACATAGATTTTGATCGTGATGAAATGTTTCTATACATTTATTTTAAATAATGAACAACATAAGTGTTAATGTTCCATAGACAGTTTATTAAATGGACCGCGCATTGACACCTATTAATGTTACTAAGATATGTGCAAGAGACAGAGCTGAGTTGGGCATGTGTTTCAATCTTATCATGTAATGATTGTTTCATCATTATGCATTGTCTGTCGCCGATATGCGCGATCCATATTATTATCAAGTCTATGAAATGTTAATTAGCAGTAATTCGATTACACTGTGAACCTACCATATAATAATTTACTATTTGTTAAACAAAAAATACTTACTTTCAACATTTCAGTGTCTGATTCTTCAATTGATAATTTTATCTTCCTGGCTATTAATTCAAACACTTTTTCTACATTAATATTTTCTTTAGACGATACCTCTATAAATGGCATTTTAAAATATTCAGCCACCTGCACATACATTAAGTAAAAATGTTATAATAATATATAATAATGTAATATTTATTTCTTAACAATTATAATTACTAATTAAACAATTGAATGACGTTAAGGGTTATGTGTACGGTTATTTATTAAAGGGTAAGTTATAGGTAATATTTGACAAGTTTTATGACAGATTTTTAGTAATGGCAAATTGTGTAAGAGTAAACGAATATTTAGTTGCAAGTATAAGTTTTTTGCAATTAAGTATATTATTTTACTAGCTTCTTATAAGAGAAAATATTTTAAGGGTCGTAAGAGCCTATAGAAATACAGATTCAATATAAAAGCCTCAAGTTTCCCAAACAAATTTGTAAAATCTGATCCTTGCCCCTTAAAAGCCAAAAATGAATTATTATAATACAAATAATAAATTATTGAAAAAGGGCCCAACCCATTCCTATAAAACCCACATCAAAGCCACTTAAATTATACATTAAATTAAAATATATGTATAATATTATACTGAAATTTTCTATTTTATAGGTATTGTTACCAAGCTCATCAGCAAATTCAAACTCGACATAACCAAATCTCTATTGGAATTTAATATTAAGAAAATCATTTTTACAGAAAACAAAATAATATTGTACCACTCATAAATGCATCGTGGATTATTTAGCATTAATTAATATTAAAAGTGATAAACTACTATACAAATAACGTTTCTCCTTCACTTCTTGAGACGGCTCTATACGCTTCATCATCACATTTCAGTCCAACCAGTACCCTTTGAGCATGTGAAGGAGCAAACTATAAAATCATTTTATGTAATGAATTAAAAATTTGAATCAAATAATACATTTACTCACTTAAGGAAAAATAACTTATGAGCTAATCTTACTTCCAAATTTTTAGTAGAGACCAAAACTCTTTTACATACTAGGATACGTTGGATATTTCATATTTCATTAACCCACCGTTGTTGGCGCAATTTTTTATCACATTTAAATAAAGTTTGACCTACGTACATTTTTACACGAGTCACGACTCACTAACGGCAGATTAATAACATATAATATAAGAAAGATGGTACTTTGCAAGTTTTTTTTTCGATAAAGAATTTTTTTTCTGAATTCAAAATTGTATACAACGTTGGTTCACTTAATGAGCAACAATGAAAACCTACACCATTGATGTCTTTCATCCAATTGTCTAAATTTTGAAATGATGTTAAACTTGTTACATCATAAGTTAGTAAAATTCCCATGGCATCTCTATAATAGAGTCTAATCAAGGACTGATACTTTTCAGAACCAGCCGTGTCCCTATAAAAATATTGAAATAATACATATTTAAGCTTACCAAGTAAAAAGTTAAATATCACAATAAAGATATTGTAATTAGAGCCTAAAACAATTAATCGTAAATTATTACCAAATATGTAGTGTCATCGAGCTGTCTTCGATATTAACTAGTTTTTTCTTTATATCCACAGCTGTAACATTATAGATGTATAACAATATATTTCAAATGCACAAAACATCAATCAATATTGGAATTTTATAGTTTTTTTTTACTTATAGGTATCATATTATTATTTATTACCAGTAGTAGCGTCATAAACATCTTTATAATCATTGTTGCAGTACCGCAACAATAAGCTTGTCTTGCCAACATTTGCATCTCCAATTATAATTATTTTTGACCGGAATATATTTACCTTCGGTTCATTTTTATTGTTCATAACTATGTTAATAAGTATGTGATATTTAGTCCCCTAAGTAGTAAATAAATCCAATTTTTTCATACCGATACCGGTCTTTTAAGATATAATGACAAATGACAATATTGCGATTATGATAATTCGTTATTTATTATCAAATTTCAAACAATCATGTGAGATTATAAAAAATGATAAGAAATTATAATGGTTCATGTAAATATTTAACTCAAAGAAGTAGGTATACACATTATTTTTAAAATACAGAAATTCCGTAACACGTAACCTAATATTATTATTATTATCGTCAGTAAGTAAAGTATGGTTGTGACGTATTCACATATTTTCTGTAGCCTGTAGATCAGCAAATTTACAAATAATTAATTTAAGAATAGGAAGGATTGTTTTGTTCAACAAAACTTTATTATAAGATTTATCATTTTGAGTGTAGGGTATTCTTAATGAAAAAATGTTTTCGAAAATTTTTTTTTTAAAACTGCAATCACTAATAAATTATTAGTAATTGATAAAAAATTGTAATGGTGCATATTGTGTTGCCTAATATACCCAGTCACACGGAGTAATGTGATTAATACAATATGTTAAATTTTCACAGTGATATTATTACTAGTTACAAATTACAATATAAATGTATTGTTATGTGATATTGTTATGTATTTATGAGAATGGCTTGAATGGAGATGATAATTTTTCCATCGTTGATTACATCATTACAATAAGGAAACAAGAACCAAAAGTTTAGTAATGGAAAATCATTATGGTTTGTAAATTTTTTTAGGAAGTAGTCCGTTTTTTAATATAACTTTTTTTAATTCGAGAATCATACACCAAAAATGGTACCTTTTAAAGCAAAAATAAAATCAGAACTTTTTCACTGATAAAAAATTGCAATTTTTATCCAGTTTTTCAAACAACTTGTTTTAAAGCATGCCCCAATGTACCAATTCGCAATAAAAATTAACTCTCAACATGATTTTTCCAAACAAGTATAAAGTTTAATTTGTATTGAAGCCTGTCATTTAGTATTTGCCCTAATCGACGTGGCTATGTCCTCTAGTCAGTCGATCATTTTTAAAGTTTAAGTGTAATGAGACAGAATATTGATTAAATAAACAAGTGACCTAGCAACGGCCTTAGATATTGATAAACTGATTCATTATAAATAACGGTGGATCAGTAATAAATAAATACCATAAGGGCTACAAGATCTATGATCCATGTTCTAATGTTTTTCCCACGAAAGAGTACAAGGTTTATGAAAACTTAGTAGTAATGTTTGATGACATGTAGGTGTTAATACAAATTTTAAATGTTATTTCTCAATACTATTTAGTCAAATGTTCAAATGTCTTTTGGTTCCTCGATAAATCAATATCATAATAATATTATTTAACGACATATTTTGTGCAGTCAATACAAACTAGATGCAAGTATTATAAATATAATTTTCATTTTACAATATTTTATGTGAACCTTTCATGAATTGACATTCTAAAACACTCTAATCTGTTGTTTACTATTTTGCAGGTTTTAATTCAATCATAAACTCGTATAATATACATAAATAACATACATGTAATAGCATAAATAATTACATTATTTTCACCAATTAACAGTACAAATTATGTATACATATTCGTGCAATTTGATTTAATAAAATACAAACCTAATGGTTCAATAACAACTCAAATAGAAATCAATGCAATATTAAACTGGCTTGACAAGCTCTTTGTCATTAGAAATTATTTTTATAGTATAGTTAAGCGAAAATATTTTTCAGTTCTTAATAATATTAGTGCAATCGACGTCACAAAATAATTAAATACCTACGCCTGTCTAGACGATTATCTGTATTATCGCCTATCACAAGGTACAATTCAGATTTTAATAGGTACCTAAACAGTAAGTACGATAAAGAGCGAAGAACAATAAAATATTAAAATGGACGATTTTAACACGAGTTGCATTTTTTCGAAGATTCTGCAAACGCTTTTTCAAAAAGGGGTGAACATTTTTCTCCCGGCGTTTCATCTTTCACACCGAACGCTCCCTGTAAAACAAATATCATTATGCACTTGTGTTGAATTATTGTTAAGTAATGTACAATAAAATATCATTTATTATAGCAAATCGTAATACGTTGTATCTGGAACGTTCTTTGATCAATTTGGCTAAAGCTTGGAACGCTTCTTCCACGTTTACGTCCATTTTGCACGACACTTCAAAGAACGGCATATCGTAACACTCTGCAATCTGGAAAACATTTTTTTATAAAAATTAGAAAAAAATCTATTTTTGAACAGCATAAAAAAAGTTAATTTACACGGAAAACGCTTACTTTTTCGCCGTCCGCCTTGTCCACGGCTCTCGTGGATTCGTTATCACATTTGTTGCCGGCCAGCACTTTAATCACGTCCGGGGAAGCATTCTATAAACGACAAAAATTAATATTAATTTCAATTGAACTTAACCCCAACAGCACCGGAAACTTCCATTAGCTACCCAGCTTTCCGGCGCTGTTAGACAATAAAAACCACTTATCACCTCTTGTATGTTTTTCAACCAGTAAGTCAAATGGTCGAACGAATCTAGGTTAGTAACATCATAAACAAGCAGTATGCCCATAGCTCCTCTGTAGTAGGCCGTGGTCAGGGTACGAAATCTTTCTTGGCCAGCCGTATCCCTGCAACAAATTACCCTTTTGGTTATGTCGTGTTTAATCTAGAACCGCGGTCCCGAAAATTACCTAGAACCTGTATCTGTTCGTGGCCCAACTAGATAATTCCAAAGACTTTTAAAAATAAAGGATATCAAAGATTCAAAAACGTCAATACTTGCTCGGACGATTCCAAAAAGCATTATTGCCACCGAACTCCATTGAACGAATGTCCATAAATTAACCGTTTGTTTTTTTTTAATTACACGTATGAGTTAGATACCATTGATAACTCTGAAACAATTGTTGCCAGAAAAATGTCGAAGTCCTACATCGGTAAAAAGAATGTTAACTTGTCTTCGGTACTTTAAAGTCAAATTTAGTGAATAAGAAAAAAATATTTCGCATCGAAGTTTATAGGCAATTTTCGCTTGCTGTTAAAATGTACAATGTAAAACGGAACATTTTGGCTCTCTATTGAAACTGATCAAGAGGCAACCCTTGGATACTTAAGCAAAATTATTTTATTAGGTTTTGAGAATATTAAGCGTATTTTGTGTTATACTAGAAAATCGAAAATTTTAAAATATGTAAAATATAGCAAAACTGTCTCGTATGATCTCTACTGCGAATGCGAAAAGACTGAAATTATTCTGAAAAAATATCCCAATATTAAGAGGTGAAATTTCTAATTAAATTGAAATATATTTACGGAAACGAGATCGTTGAGGGGTCTAAAATAGTACTATAATGTAATAATAATAAGATTGCAATGAGTTAGAAAATAGCAAATATTGTGTAAAGGAGTAACTTGAAAATCGTGTCAATGCAATTGTATTTCTAGGAAAAAATAGACTGAGCTAGTTATGGCGAAATATTGAAAAATGTAAGGACAAAATTAAGTGACAAAAAAGGCGAAAAGCTTAGAGTAGAGGAAAGCAAAGGACAGTGGTAGACGGAAAAAAGTATTTTGTGATGGAGGCATTGTGACAATAGCAGACGGAGAAGCTGTATGAATTCTAAATAAGGAGAGGAGGAGAAATACTATATTATGTACATTGTTGAATTGTAAAATTGCCTATACGACACGCCTTGATACACTAAACGTTTATTATAACTGTCTGTCAAATGTTTTAAAAATTTGTAAGTACACACTATTGACTATTTTGTTTGGATTTTACTATTTGCTACTTATCGAAAGACATGAAACATTGTGACATTTGAAACATTTTAAAACGACAAAACCAATTATAAAACTCAAGGAGAGTTTTTTTCTAATCAACAACACACGTGACAAGTCAAGACTCGTGGAAGTTGTAGTAGGTCCAATATTATAGTTTGATGACTAATGTAATATACGTTATGTTACTCACCATATTTGCAGTTTGATTGGTTTGTCGTCTAGTTGTATGATCTTTTGTTTGTAATCAACTCCTGCAATTCCAAAACGTTATTATAAAAAAAAAACACGTTCGGAAATGTTTTTTGTAACACTTAGTAGTTTAAAAATATCCAGAACGTTAAATTTTATGCAACCACCTAAAAACTTACCAAATTTGCATACAAAAAACGTCATATAGTACCTGAAGTCTGTGTACCGAGTTTTGTACAATCATATAATTAAAGTGTCGCGATGCTTCTGCGGCTATTTAGTATGCAAGCAACGCATTTTTATTTATAATGTTATAAATTACCAATGGAAGGGACAAGATATTATATAAAAAGATGTAGCGTGTGCATTACCTAAATATATAATATTGGATACAAAAAACCACTTTCGTCGGCGGTACTGATATTATACAAGACGTTGTTGTTTTGCATAGGAATTGTCAAAACACAGCAAGACACTTTTCAGATATAGTTGGTATCGGTGTTGATTTTATAATAATATACGGATATATACAGATAAGCGGTGCTATACACAGAACGGTAACATTTTTATACGGAATTCCTCTGGCAAGGGGATTCTACCATCTGCGTGTCCATAAACTATGACGTGGGTACCTCTGCTGCCAGCAAATATCGGTTACCGGGTTCTTAAAAACACCGCTTATCTGTATAATATTAAAATATCAACAGTATTGGTTATTTATACTAATGTAAATTAGTAAATTAAAATTAAAAACTTAATTAAACTAAAAAAGTAGTTTTTCATAATTGGTTGGAAAACTAGTTCGTCCTAAGAGATAAAATGTACAAAATTACAATATTTCTACTAAAAAAAAATATATATATATATATATATATTATTGGGCACTTGTTAACTTAAAACAAAACCAAAATAACGAGTAAGTGACCTACATTGCGATTGACATTGTAATCAGTAAAAATGGGTAAACATGAGTAATCTATTTGTAAAACAATTTATATAAGTAGCGCGTTATAAGCAAACCTATTAAGTAGGTTTTTTGAAATACTATTTTATTGAACCACATCAAGTATTTAGCACACCGTAATCCATCGTTGTTTATTATCTTTGTTGTCGACTATAAAAGTCTTGGGAAATTATAAAATGCGGATATTGTTTGCATTAACGTCTCGTTTCTTTAAAAACATAGGTATAAGGTAATATTTTTAAGGATCTGATTATGATCAGCGTTGGCATAATATATGTGTCATGCTCACGTGTTCAGATTGTCAAATAAAATATAATCATTAAGAACTTGTGTCTTGTGTAATGTGTTGTTGTGTCCTAGTATAAAGCTATAGGTTCACGCGGCAAAAAATGTATTTAGAAATTTAATTTTGACTTTTTTTAAACATTAAACTATTATACTTTTGTACCGAATTTAAAGCTACTAATATAAAATATTATAGATTATCACTTAATATTTAAAGAATGTACTTTTTACACTATTTTTGGATACTCGGTGTAAACTGCTTTTTGACCAGATTATAAAAATTCAAATAATTCTTATGCCTTAATAGCTAAAAAATAATTGTTTATTCGAAATTTATCAACCTTTAATAAATTATATTATTTTTAAATTAAACATAAGCCAGTCCAGTATGTTAGATTTAAAAAAAAAACAATAGAGTTTATACTTTTTAATTGCAATTATCGACGCTTGGTTGAATAGGTATAATCCTTTTATTACAGTTTTTATTTAGAAAAACAACAGACCATACGTGTTATCGTCAATCATCAAGTGCTTACTCACGTTATTTAAATAGTACAAGAAAAATAAGTAGTCACTCACACTGAATAGTTGTGCAATAAAAAATAAAATAAAAAAAAGTTACTCATTCAAAATTTACCAAAAAAACAAAAACTTAAGGGGATAGAGTTGTGAAATATTTTTATAGAATGTTATATGAACGTTTTTCCAAACTCCGATGGTTTTAAAAAACACAGTCCAGCATAGTAACTAATCGACAATTTGAAAGCTGGACGTTCCCTCTGTTTTATTTTATTGTATTTAAAAAACTAATCATAACATAATAATTAGATTATTGATTAGCAGAGCTTAGTTAGAGACATGCGTGTTAAATTTTAATCTTCAGAAAAGCCGAGCTAGCTGAAAGGAAATCTTAATAACGGGATAGTATTGTACATTTAAATTATTATTATTCTTTTTTCATAAGATACCGATGTAAAAATACTTAATTTAAGACAACAGGCGGGACGAGATTTCAATGCTCGCCATAGATATATTATTATATGTCTACATATATAATAATATTATGTGTGCATTTTTATTGGAAGTTTTTTAGTTTTAGTTTTTATCGGCGTTTTCAAAACGCATGATAACGCGAACAGTGTGGAAAAACAAAACTGTTGTTACTATTTAGGTCAAGCTAAACGGCATCAATAGGTAATAAAAACATTAAAAATACTTCGTGTAAGTCCAAGGTCGTAGCCACGAATCGCTATTATCTACTTATAACATCGTCACTATAGTAAAGGTAGCAATCACATAAATCATTTCGGTATCGACTTCACTCAGACATAACCGCCAGATATACTCGACACACATGATATATATATATACATAAATAACATATTACGATGAAGCTTTAGGCTTTAGCATATGTGTTATGTATGTATACTAGTCATAAAGCAACGAAACGGACTAGAGTATGTATTTCGTGTCGAAAAAATCGATTTTAGGCCAGTAAAATATTGTGTATCCGAGTTAAATGGGTCGTCGGGGATGAAAAGTCATAAGATATAATAGAGAAATGTACAATTTTGAGCTGATTGAAAACCCCAGTAGAGAGATTCGGATGGTTCATAAAACAAACGGCGCAGGTTCCACCTTGTAATTTATCTGAGTTATCGACCACTAGTTGGGTATGATGCACAATAACGATGCCGTTGAACTGGTGTGATACGTCCTACGACCTACTACCACAACGATGATCTGACAGTAAATACATTACGCTAAACAAACTGTGCAAGGGATAACTCGTTGCAAGTACACATCTGAAAGTTAGTTTCGAAAAAGAATTGAAAAAATACAAGTTTTAATCAAAGTTCCTATAGTAGGGACGGGACTTTCAAAACAACCATTTTTAAGTATTGAAAGTATGCAATATCTGATATCATTAAACAACACGTTAGAAGTATATAACAGAATAAAATTTTTCGAATTTCTTTGATTTTTTTTTTTTAACAAAATGCGATTTATATAGACTTCTAAAACGAAAATTACGGTTTTGTTTTCAATGTGTTTTTTGTAAAACATACAATTTTTTTTACAATAACTGACGCAGAAATCCAAGACAAAAACGTCCAAGTTAAATTCCAGTCAAGCAATATTAACATATGTAAATTGATTAAGTATCACATGATTTTTTCAAGTTTATTCAATTGAACATTTTCCTATTGTGTACCTATTTAAAAATGTTGCTCGATACTAGTTTTTAGTTTATACATTACACGTTTGAGTACGCCGTGCTTACCTATGGTGGAGATGTACGTGTCGTAGTAGGTCTCGTCGCAGAATCTGTGCATCAGACACGTCTTGCCGACGTTCGAGTCGCCCAGCACGAGCACTTTGAACGATTCGCCGGCGTTCATGTCGCGGCATCGCCCTGTAGACAACTGCCCTTGGTATTACACCCACGAAGTGGTGGCCGGTCGGGCTGCTGCTACCCCTCGCCGACAACAATCGCGGCGATATATCGATATTATGGCCAACCCTCAACCACCCCCCCCCCGCCCCATCCAGCCTCCCAAAGGGCGCAATGAGTCATACGGTCTGGGTTGAGCGCCCGCGGTGGTGCAATATCGATTTTATGTGCTACCGACAATAATAAACCTCTCGGCGGCAAACGCGCTCTCTCGTTCATGTTGCAATCGCCATCTAAAAAACAATGTCCGTAAAAAAATAATTTTTTTTTATACAGACGCTCGATTATTTAACAATTTCAAAACTAACGCACTGCGGGCTACATAATAAACCATAATAATATTGTATCGTCGCTCCGCCAAAAGTTATTTATTTACCGGACACTAAAAAGTAGCAGAGATGGGGACATTATGTGATGGGGAACGCGATTTTTTTTTTTTTTTTTAAACACTGACCATATCAATTGTTTTTTGTTTAATTACAGCACAGCGCACTGACATTTTAAAACTAAACGTATTCATTTGAATTTTACAATAATTCTCTATTACTCGAATGTCAAAATTACATTTGCCCCATTGAATTACAATTAGGTACCGCCCTTGACCCTTACATTAGATAACGCGTTTTAGCTACTCGGGACTTTTCCATTCTCGAGTCACGTGATGCCGATCCAAGCTTGTCGTTAATACCATTAAGCAGTACGGGTAAAGTATGTGTATTTCTATAAATATATATACATATACATAAGAAAGAAAACGATATTTTCAAAATGTTATACTCTTAACAAAACCGCCAAGGCCGTTTGCCAAGTGACGGTTGACAATAATTTATAATATAATCGCGCGCGAAAAATCCATATGATAAACAATGGAAAATTATAATTTGATGCGTATAATGCCGTTTGCGAACAGGTACATCGGACATCCTACAACTATTAATACAATAGCGACCAAGCATTGTATTACTTGTACAATATAACACAATGTATTATATCTATCATACCTATGTGGTGTATATGTTTTTTATTCCGTTCAGCATCCGCATAATAATAATAATATAATATTGTCATGACCAATGTGACGACGACTGGTGTAGGTAAAAAAATTTTCACAATATATAATACGACTTAAGCCGATACAACTTCATAGTAGTATACGGTTGGTGGACGTCACGTGATATTAGTATGTGGAAAGCGTACTTAACGCCACTAGTTTTTTAATTGTTTTTCATTAATGTTATTTGTTTGGCAAACGCGCGAAGCGCCTTTTTTTTTACTTCCCGCCACGCACTCATCACACTGCTACTAGTATTTGTAAACAATAATTTTTCGATAATTATTATCATACTATGTATACCGAATATTGACTAATTATTTGGTTAATTATTTTGACCGTCCACCTAATAGCAAAAATAAATAAATTAGTTCATTGATAGTACATAATTAGTCAGTTAATTGTCTAAAAGATTTTAAACTACCGGCTAAGACATTTTAAAAATAAATTGGAAGTTGACCGAAATATATTTTTCTTTGGCCTAATGAATACAAAACAATTAGAAAATCTATTTTGAATAACTATCATTGAATTTCCAAAAAACAGAAATCATTATCGTTTAAAACAATACACATTAAAATCATTGTAAATTACAATATAATTATGAGTATCAACGTGCCGACCACTTGCACGGAAAAATGTAATGTTAATATTATTGGACACTTATTTTATTGCTATGCTTCGCATTGCATAGTAAATAGTAATACTGCATAGTAATTGTATACTTTTTTAACATAATAACAAAAAAATATACTCGGCTCATTGTCTGGATAATAATTATTTTCTGGCCGCATTGCTCGAATACTATCTGCGTGCAATTCATATTATACGACGTTAACGGCTTTCATATTTTTTAAGGCGTTAGTTTACTAAGGCTGAGGCTTCTGGTTTTTGTTCTGCAACTATTGGCTACTTCAGAAGTTAGATATATGTAATAACAACTTTCTTCACTTATCATAATGACATTTCCCGCGAAAGACCGCTTATCTTCATTTGTTTAATCTAAAATAAATGCCAATTATAAATAATAATAATAATATCAATATGTCATCTCTTTTGATTAGTTCATTCGAAATAAATAATAATCTCGCGGTCGCCGGTGGCAAAACGATTCGGTTCGGATATAAAGTTTTCTGTCGATCGATTGCGGTAAGCCGTTTCCATTCCAGTCGAAAAGTACGACCGTCGCAAATCGGCCAAACTCTTTTCCAGCTGTTCGGCCGTCCTGTCCACGAACTCTGACTCGAGTCGCAGTGACCGTTTTTCTGCTTCCAACGCTTTCGCTTCCAACTCGGCGTCCGCTCGGTGCTCGGCTAGTTTTCTCGACGCGAGCCCAATGCCGTCGCGTAACTCGTTGACTTGGTCTTCGAGTCGGCGGTTCGCGTCGTTCAGCCGATCCATTTGTTCGTTACCGCTGTTGAAGTCCCGAAGTAGATTGGTCCGTCGCGCTTCCAGGCGTCGCATGTCCAGGCATAGTGCGTCGACCGCCGCTCGACTGCGTTTCCCGTCGATCGTAAGTCGCTCGATTCGGCCACGGTTGGTTTCGAGTACGGCCTTCCACACTTCGTACCTGTCCGTCAGCTGCCGCTTTTGTTCGGAGGACAACTCGTCCATCAAACGGTCGGCTATTCGCTCGACGTCCGACTCGCGTTCATTCAACTCGGACGTCTTCTGCCGGAGACGTTCGTTTTGCCGTCTCAACTCGGCGATGTCTGCGATTTGTGCTTCAACCAGTTCGGTCTTGTCATTCAACTCCGTCTTTGCGGCGTCCAAATCGGCCGCTTTTGTCTGCACTAACGCTGTACACTCTTCGTTGCGTTTCTTCAGTGCCGCCACGCTTTTGTGCGTCTCGCGCAACGTTTCGTTCAGGCGGTCGCGCCGTTTCGCGGCACGCGCGTTTTCTTGCTCGCACTTCTCCGACTGCATCTCGAGTGCTTCGCGCGTCTCCGTTAGTTCCTCCAGCTGTTCTTTGGCCGAACTAACGTAGGCCTTGCTCTCGTCAAACGCATTGCTCACGGTCCAATACTTGTGTCTAAGTTTTTCATAGCCTTCGGTCAACTGGTCCAACGATGCCTTTTGGGCTTCGGCGGCCTCACTGATGGACAACGTGACGTCGGTCAGCGATTTGCGCAAATGCTCTTCCATCGACTGCCGTGCAGTTACACAATACGATGTTATACACAATAGTATAACAATATAACTTTAATTTGTACAACCAATTAGACTGACAAAATATCATACAAGGCAAAACAAATATTATAAAAAAATAGATACATACTTTTGTTCTTTAACTGTTATATTATTATATAATAAACATAATAGTTTCAAGAATGTTGTTTAGAAATTGTACTGTTTCTACATAAAATACTAATTTAAACAAAACGTAAGCTAGGATACGGAGCTTAGAAAATATTAATTTTACATGTGTTTTTCAGATTAAAATCATAAGGTACATTTTTTAAGACTAGAAGTTCATTTCTTTCCCTTTTTAACCTAACATAACCTTACATAATAGAAACCCAAATAGCATTAATAAATTGACCTGGAAAACCTTAATCATTTTTCTAACAACAGTAATGCAGTCATGAACAATTATTAATTAACAAATATACAATTTCACACTATTCTAAATATTGCCTAATACATTTATTTTAATTCTTTTAAATACAAAAATGTCTCTCAAGTCTCAAATATGTTATTTAAAAAAATAAATATTAAAAAAAGTAAATCGCCTTTGCTAAAGAATAATGAACAACTTGTTACAACTTAAATTCATACTTTTACCAAACAATTGTATAAAACCTAATTTAAAACAATTTAAGTAATAATGTATTTGTGTCATGAAAAACATGAAGTATATAAATTATACATATACTTTATTTATATATACATAATATTTTTTTCTATGTATATATGGCTTTGTATAAAGTAAATCTATAGGCTTGATTTTCAATTTTATAGGTAATTGGACGTGTTTATAATTACACATAATATGAGTCTTCTAACTAATTTTGAAAACCATTCAAATAGTAACGTTAACGTGTTTTATTTGTATTTCAGAGGCGTTTGACTCTTACCGTCGCACAAAATTCATAACTCATTATTAACGGCTATTTTGAATTTTTTTTTATCCGAGTCTTCCGGGACGTATATAAGAACTTTTCTAAAAGAAGCAAATGTCCCTACGCTAGGCATTTTAGAGAGAGAGAGAGAGAGAGAGAGAGTTTCAAGTTAGTATTCAAGTTGTGTGTGTTTTTTATAGCTATCCATTACACTACAAATCGATAATGGATAATACCTAGTATTATATTATGTATGACACACGGTTAGCCGTATTGTGTTTGTGCAAAAAAATAAAATATAAATAAAATCGACTTACATATAGTGTGTAAACTGGGAATACGTCATTTATACGGCCTTAATCCATTGTGTCAACTTATTTTACACTTAAGTGCTCGCTTATACTGTTTGCACTACGAGATAACGCGATTAAAAACAAAATAATACATGTTTAATAATACTCTTGTAGTATATTATAATATTATAATTGTATTATTATCTGGCCCATTGGTTAATCCTTCGCCGACTTTTACCGTATGTTTATTTATTATACAATATAGTGTATAGATATGTAATAATATCTAATATAAAGTCGAGCTTCACAACAATAAAATTAACTCGAGTGTTTTTTTTTTTTGGTCTGTTATTTGTAATTTGTGCATTTGATATTTGGTGTACACCATAATGTGTACCTAAGTTATCTAGGAGTACGATATTTGGTGTAAAAAAATATTCTGAATTTGTCAAAATTAACAAATCAAAATTATGTAATAATAATTTCACCATACCCGATAATGGTCCTGTTGACTTCACTGTTTATGATATTTGTGATATTTTTAGTAATTTTATTTATAAAAAGAGTTCAGTAACTCAGTTGTTTATGAAAAAGGTAAAATTCGATCAATTAAAATCCTTACTGTTGATTAAAAAATATATTTGAAAAATTGGTATCCATTAATTTGAATAAGTATAGTGTATAACAATTAAAAAAAATTATTTTTTCAAGTAAAATTGTACGTGAAAAACAGTGATTTTTAATTTACCGAATGTTAAATTATTACTATATTTTACTGTTATTATGAATCACAATTTAGGATTAATAAAATATATCATTCATTATGGAAATCTACAAGACTTGCCTGAAAGCTAATAATATTGTCGATCGCAGTAGGCACACATGGTCGATATCGGTACAAGATAGTTAAACATACTATTTAGACGGTCAAGCCTTACTATTTGTAAACCGACTATTATAGTAATGATCCAATAGATGATAATAATAATAATATTATTATTATTATTATAATCTATGAACGATCGTTGGATTATAATCGTATTACATAGTAGCAACCGGCCATAGCATATTCTTTTCAAGTCTCCATCCCCCTCCCCCACGTATGTAGGTGTGCTAAACGGTATACACAGTGAAGTGTGGTAAATCGTTTGCGGTATACCGTGTATTATTATTTTGTGTACACACACACACACTTATATATGTATATAATTATAAGTTTATAGGCGGGTTTTCGCTGTCGTTATCTGCTGTGCTCTGAACCATTAGATGGGTCTATTAGTCTTGTCGGAGGTAACCGATTGTCGCACAACACACGCGGTAATCAATAAGTGCACTAGTGCAGTAATCGTCGGGGCCGGATCGTTGATTTTATTGTCGTTAGAGAAACTAATATATACTTGGTAAAGGCGTTAATGTCATTAGTTTTTTTTTTTAATCATTTCGAGCTCTTTTTTTTTTTCATGTAATTCTTCTTTCGCTCATTTTTTTTTTATATATTTGTTTTATGTTATATAATTTATTGCGATTCGTTTCGTCGTGTGCCGTCTTGTGCGAAAATTTCGGTTAGGTTTGACCGTCGACGGTTGTCCTGAGTTCAGTGTATCTATGCAGAAACTCGTATTGAAATCGCACCAAACACCAGTAACGTGATGGGTAATAATACATTAAACATAACGTATGGACATAATAATAATATGTACGTGGTCGCGATTTCCTCATTCCATATTATTATTCTCATCAATAAATTATTTTAGGTTGGGCAAATTCGAATTTCAGAACAACTACCATACCATCTCACCCCAACCTAGTTCAACTCTAAATATTATGTTTTTTTTTAAATCAGAGTTGGCTATAACCTATTTTTTTTTTCTTAAAGTCCGACTCCTATAAGTTTTTTGAAATATCTGATAGATCCTATACAAGCCATATTTCCAAGAAAATAATTAACATTTGCTATACTTAAACAGAAAATATATAATAAACTCTCGTCTGTTTGGTTTGGTTTTCCAAAATCACCTGAAAGTTGTTAAACTTTAGCCGTGATTCGTTAGTTAGTTACCTACATTTAACATTAAATTACATTGAACTTTTGCTAAAACTTCTAAACCGTTTAATATGTTTTTTTTTTTTAATTTTATATAACAATCTAATTTTTTATACTATTTTTATTGTTCAGATAAAGTAATTTGTACACCTTTTAATCTCAATTACAACTGAACAACACGTCTTATCGATGGTCCCATACTTAAAATGTGACAATTCATATATGTATACGTATGTGAAAATATTATAAAACAATATATTGTGATAAGTTTAGGAAACCACTAGAAAAAAACATTAGTAATACGCTGTAAAGATTTGCCATAGTTTTATGATCATTATTTATTAATTGGAAGTGAATAGCTGTATTATAATAACCACTTATTGTCAACCGATGCAAACTAAATTTGATAATAATACCATATAATATGTATAAAAGGTTCAATGTGTTATCTAAGTTTTGACCTATATTAGTAAAGATATTTTATATTTTAACCTCACAGTTATTAATTTTCATAAGTGTTTGTTAAGTTCGACAATAGCTAATTTCCAAAGTTAATGAGTTCTGTTAAAAATTATTTTTTTTAACCATTCGGTTTGGTAAACAATATAGGTGTTGTGGCATTCTAGACAGCAAACTTAGAATTTGTTTAATATATTATTATAATGGTTTTATCTTATCCTTCTTAATAATTGTCGAATGGTTGCAATAATATAATATAATTCAACGCCAATATTTTGTAGATCATATTATATTATATTAAATCATATTATATTTTGCTGTTAGAAACATTTAAGTCGTGCCCAATTTTTCAGGCACACAAAATTGTAACGTATAATAAAACTTGTATTTATTATTACATCCAGGCGCTAAAAGTTACCTAACTGATGCTATGTTATCTAAGGATAGTATTTATAAGGCTTTGGAATTTGTAAATATCTGGAAATTTCCAGTTAATAGTATTTAACGATTAGTTATAACCACTATTTATTAATGAATTCGGTACAGGAAACATGTTTGTAAAATCTTAATTTGTGCGATAATGAGGATTCGTTTTAATTATTGTATTTTTTTTTTTTTTTACTATAACGCCCATGTCAACGTCTAGACTATTTTTTTTTAGCTTAATAAAATTATTTACTTAAACAATTCATGTAGAGAGAAGTTCGCCTAATTGAAAAACTAGTAAACATAAAAAAAACGGATTAATTTTGCACGTTATATAAGTAAAGCCGTGCAGACTGAATAACTTAAAAAACCATTATTTCTCGTTAAGCAAACGCACGTAGCGGCAATTATATATGCCCTGACACTTCAATTAGTCGAGATAGTCGATTTAACTAAACTGTTTTATAAATATGATCGTTGTGTTTAAATATCGATTTAAAATTAATTGTGCTCAATTGATTTGTGGAATGAGTGTGAATCAATGAGTGTGTGGACTGTCAACTGTGTAATGCGTTATTCATGTTGATATTGTTTATAGGTTTGGACTTCTTAGACAATGGTTCAATTTTCGAGCATGCCATTACGTGCGCAGGTACGTAACGTACTTGGGAGTCGGGAAAAAAAAAAAGAGATGAATAAATTATCGAGTTATTAAATAACATGAACGATTGATTTTTTTTTTAGAATTTGGCAAATTCCATTATTATTTGTTGGCACTTAGCGGCCTCATCTACACCAACTGTGCCATATCCATAACTGTTGTATCATTCGTGTTACCGTCTGCACAATGCGATTTCAACCTGAGTTCGTCCGACAAAGGGCTGTTGAATGCCGTACCTTTGTTTGGTAAATAGCACGGTAACTCGGCACAAACCAATATAGCAGAAAATATTTATTAGAATTTTTGTTTTTAGGCATGCTTTTGGGTGCGTATTTTTGGGGATGTCTGGCCGACATGCACGGAAGAAAAAAAGCTCTGATTGCTGCATTACTTCTAGACGGCATTTTTAGTTTGATTTCCAGCTTCCTCACGTTCTTTTGGCCGTTTTTGTTATGCCGTTTCTTCAGCGGTTTCGGGTAAGTCGATTCGAATAATTAAAACAACATCAATTAACGCAAAACTTTAAAACATACTAGTAGTGAGAATAAATAGGTAGATACGGTGACTCGAAAATGGTAGTACGAGTTGGAAAAAGTAAAACGTAGGATGAAAATTTAAAAATAAAAGATACAATAAGTAAGCGTATATAAATGTTATTGACCAGGGATTGTAGTATTAAAATGTAAGTAGAAAAATGACGCGGTGCGCAAAAATAACGAAGCGAGCCGTTTTAAGTTAATGTAAACAGAATAATTCCGCAAAATTACTCTAGTTTTTATTTATAAACAGTATAACTAACATTTTGTAATTTATATTCAATTTTCAGCGTATCGGGTTACTTGGGAATCCTGTTTTCGTACTTGGGTGAATTCCAACCGAAAATATACAGAGAAAAAGTGTTGTCGTGGCTGGAAATGTTTTGGACACTCGGCGCTGTAGCGTTACCATGTACCGTCTAAATTTCCTAACGGCTAATTATTTAAACTATGCGAGTGTGATTGTCATCTTTTTTTTTTTTTGCCTTTCTGTCTTTGCAGTGATAGCATGGGGTATCATTCCAATACCGCTGCAGTACACTTACAGTATTTTCAAGTATTCATCGTGGAACGGATTTCTCACGTTATGTTCATTGCCCAGCATCTTGTTGGCCTTGTGGCTGACCCGGTTTCCGGAAAGTCCGAAATTCTTGTTAGAGTGCGGCGAATACGAAGAAGCTCTCAAGTGTCTGAAACGGATTTACACGGAAAACACTGGCGAACCCGGCGATACGTATCCCGTACGAAACAATTACTTACCGCCAAAGCTGTACAATTTTACTACTAACATTCCTGCTAAACAAAACATACAGTTTCAGCATTAGTCCACTCGATCCTTGTATAATACTAGCATATTAAAGCCTAATATAAGATTTTGTGAATGCGAGCGAATGAATGGTTTCTACTAATCAGCGATTGCCGTTGTACTTTTAGGTGAGAAGTTTGATCGAGAACGAAGTCCGGTGCAGTGTGGTCAGCATACAGTCGAAACGGTCGCTGAGAAGCATGAAAACCGTCAAAACGCCCAAAGACCTGAGGAATCTACTGAAAGAGATATGGTACCAGACCAAGGAAATGTTTAAGCCACCCCATCTCAAAAATACCGTACTTACGTGTCTCATACAGCTGGGACTGTCTTCCACGTAAGCTATTACACCAGTATATCCGTCTACTTTATCATCTTGACCCTCGGTCGATCATTGCGTTTAAATGTTATCGTGGTTTGATAAGTTGGTCGACACAAGACGTACTGCTAACATGATTTCTTTCGAAATTGCTTCAGCAAACGGTTAACCATTGCAGTGTTTTTGAAACCCCTGACTTGTCGAGATACTGTGTGTGACGACAAGTAAAGAACATTATGAAATAGGCGGGTTACAACATTGATTATACAATGCTGGGTGTCATCCAAGTAGAACCTACTGGTATTAATTTTGATCGATACATATCATATCCACTGCTAAGAACGTTATTTGGAATTTGTCTGTATTCAGACTATTAGGCTGATTACAAAAGCCGTATTGGTGGATAATGTGTGTTCGACGTGTGTTTGCAGATACTACACTATGATGCTATGGTTTCCAGAGTTGTTCAATAGATTCGAGCAGTTCGAGCACGAACAACCCGGCAAAGACGTATCCGTGTGTCAGGTTTCATCGGTGTACATCGAACACAACGGGGCTCTTAGCATGGATGACTTGTGCGGGTCGGGCGTGGGACAGACGGTTTACACGCATACGTTGTGGGTCGGAATAGCGTGCATACCCACGTCGCTGTGGATGCCGTTGTGCGTGCACAGATTGGGCGCCAAGTTTTTTTTAGGTAAGTTATACCGTGACATTTATAACGTTCGAGTGCCTCGTCAGAAAGTTCAAACTACTGCGCGGTACTAAAGGTCGAAGGGCCGGGAGACAGCATAATTTTATAGCGAAACAGTGCACCGAGTTTCGGTTGAATAGATTCAGCAGGAAATACCATCGGGGACTGTACGGGGTGTTCGACAACTTTAGAAAAACTAACCTAACCGTAGTGATTTTTCCTTCGAAACTTCATTTGCCGAGTACGTTTGTTAGTACTTATTGCTACTGATGAGGTAACAGGTAGTAATATTCGTGGAGCCTTTCCTTCTAAATTATTGGATAGGTACCCGATGATATTTTGTCAAAATCTAAAGTTGAAACACTAGTACACGCATTCCAATTCAATCGTTGTATTTCATTTGCAGTCATAAGTCTTTTCATATCCGGCGTCGCAGCGGCCATGCTTTATTTCGTCAAGAACGCCATGCAAAATCTCATACTGTCGTGCTTGTTCGAAGCGTTTACCAGTCTGGGAATTAGCGTACTGATGTGCATAATGGTGGAGTTGTTCCCCACAAACATGAGGTAAGAACGCTAAGATGAAGTCACTTTGGAAGAAAAAAAAATACACGATAACATGTATTTATGATTCGTTGACAGAATTATGGCCGCAGCCGCGTCTGCTACGTTTGGCCGTTTCGGGTCTTTGATGGCGAACATCATGTTTGGACTTCTGATCGATACACACTGCATACTACTCATTATAATTTTCAGTTCGTCGCTAATAAGTAAGCACACTGCCAGCGAACTTTTCAATTGTTTTACTTTGCAAAGCTGATTACGTTGTGTTATTATGTTTTAGTTAGCGGTATCCTGGCGTTAGCTCTCCCGCGTTCAAACCACAAAGATTTAGATTAGGTTTTACACACAACTCGCCACCTAGTGCATCTTACGAGTATGTTATGATTTATAAATATTATATATATATATATATATTTCTATTAAGAATGCGGAATATTTATAAATGATAACCTCGACAGTGAATCATATTAAATCACATCATTATTATTATTATAATGTAGATGTATAACACTTTGATGTACTATTAATGTTTAAAAAAAAAAAAAATGTATTATTGGTTAAGTTTTTAACTTAAACGAAATGTGACAACTTTTTTTGTAAATACAATTATTATCGGCTAGTAAAACATTATTAAACATTGTGAGTATAGATCATTATATATTGTATGTTTTGAAATTTAAAAAAAAAAACAAATTTGAGTCATAAAATAATAAAGTATATACGTTGTGTACAATTTAAATCTATTAGTACCTAGTGTGGTGGAAGACTTTTAATTTAGGTACCTTGTTTATTTATCCATTTGCTAATTTCACACACACACTAATGCTTACCTCTACCTATCAGTTAAGTTAGGTATTCTTGATATCTGTAATACCTTTTTAACTATTTTTTCTTCTACATCTTTCATTCTTCCTGTTATTGATGTATTTTTGAAACTATTTAAATAATTCTTATACCTCTTACGGCATACATTCATTTCGAAAACACTAAGTGCTCTTTTTTTTATGTTAATAATTATGTATGTAAATATATAACTGTTTAATCGTATCGTCTATAGCTTCAAAGTGACAAGTTACTGACTTATACTTCAATCTAACTAAAATTAAGATAAATTGTTTAAAACGTTACGGGCATAGGTAACTCTCACCAGTTAAGTTTAAAATTTGAGTTGTAGAAAATGGAACAACTTAGCATTTAGGTGAATTGGTTTGATTTTTTTCACGATATTCTAAACCCAGATATGCGATAGTCTTTAAATGCTATAGGTAAATTGAATCAAACAAAAAAAACCTAAAATATTTTGTAATTATACTTTTATATTAAGGAAGTTGGAGCCGTACCTTATCCATGGACCCTCATAAGCGGTTTGGTTGTACAGGATCTTCATAAATTCATAGCACAGCATTTATTTCAATGAAATAACAATAACTGTGGCCGGTAAAAATAATATGCTACATCTCGCCTCAAATGATTTTTTTTTTAAATTGGTTTTGAGACTTATCAAATATCATGTGTCGTTCATACTCTTTTCCAAACCACCCGTGAGGTAGAGTATCGGGCTCGTTTTTTTTAACGTGGTATCTCCATGTATGATGATGTTTCAAATTGTGCGTTTATACTAAAAAAACCATTTAGAAACGCGTTTAAAACATTTTTGGCCTTAAAAACGTTAAAAGTATTGTTAAACCTCTTTTTGGTTATTCCAATGTTGCGGTTTGTGTCTAAAGCAAATAATTCGTTTGACCGGAATATTATTCCATACTCCATTCCAGGCCCATTTCCTACCGCCGAGGGAATACTTTACAACCGCGGCCTGGATATTCATCCCTAAGTCATGGGCCTGCATTCCAGCGTAGTTTGGTTCTATAATCGGACGCCGGCCGTGCATATACCCGACGTTCAGCTTAATCGGGTTCCTGCACGAGTGTACCACACGATTCGCGAACAGCACAAGGCATATGCCGGGACCTCTCGGCTTATAACCCTTATACGCTGGCATGAAGTATGGAAGTAAGATTATAAAGCAAAGTTTAAAAAATCCATACACTTGACATGTTCAAAGAAACCCAAACGCGTCACTCCTGTCTGTCATGGGTGTTTATTTGACATTTGCGTTTAATTAAATTGGCCAAAATGGTTAGGTATGTTGTGGAAATTGGGCGATTTTCCAAAACGATTAAGTGGCATCATCGTACACAGACCTAATCCACGTGGTGCTCGACTTGGGAGGAGAAGAGGGGGATCAATTATCGTTCAGATGTTTTTGGGCTTTTTGTTTCAAGTGAAACGCATCGGACGAACCGTTCGTCAGAGATTATCAGTATCGAAGAAATACATCAATAGGCAACAATTTATTACTTGTTTATATGAACGATGAATGGAACAAGTACAAATATTATCAATAAGGGTGGTTTCTTGCTTATGAGTTTTTATAGTACCGTTTTATCCCGAATCGAACACGTATAGGGTACGGAATTAATTCGGCACTTGCTTGTAAAATACTTGAAAAGAAACACATTCTTCTATAAAGTTCCACCCGAGTTAATTCCGGACCCCTAACTTAATTGAACTAATTAATATTTCGAATAAAATACTACATATATTGGCTAGTTGTTACCCGTTACTTCGCGTTATATACTTATTATTACAGAAGCACGTTCTCCTGTTCTGGCAAAACGGTTATGCTTCTTCGCATGTTCAAATCTAGAAAAAGTATATCCATGTGAGTAATACTAATTAAACTGCTAATCCTACTAGTGTAATACTAATTGGATTTGGTACAAGTCTTCAGTTCCAGACACCTTTTTTGAAACGGTATTACCCGCCCAGAAAGTCTGACAGTTAAGTCTATCTTATGCTGATTGTATTGATGCGGAATACACTTACATATTTACCGCAGACCACTTGATCAAGTTAATTGTTCATAAAATAATACTTATATTTATTGATTTTTAAAAATACAAATTCACATTCATCGTTATTAAACTAACAAATGAATATACCAGTCAATTCCCCTAACACCGAAAATTGATTTGTACACATTTACTTTTAGCCAGCAAATCCGTTTAAAAATTATGTAACTATATATAAAAACCTTACAATCCATTTTCAATAATGTGTGTTTAAGTTTTTTTTCAGTAATCAACGAGTACTGTTATACTGTAGACTTTACAACACAGTTTAATGTTTCTTTTTTTTGTAAATTGCTACAAACTACTTAAGTTAACTATGCACATTTCTCACCATTTTTTGTAATTTTGAAAAAAAAAACATAATTATTACTTTTTATCATTAGCTGTAGTCTGTACTGTTTATAATGTGGTAATTGACAAAAACATTAGAAAAAAACTAAAATAACACTAATAGAAAAATGATATATTTTTTTTAACGATCATGAATGAAAATAAGGTTATTTGTTTATTAACTAGAACCGTAACATAATCTAACAATGCAATTATATAATTTGTTAACAATTAACATGACTTAGTTGATAAAAATTACCTCACATTGTAAAAAATAAAACTATACATATAAATCAGACAAACATTATTTTAAATTGACTAACATTAATTTATGAAAATATTGTTAGGTTTATAAAACATAGCCTCATCAAAATTCAACAAGTAAGAAAACCAACGACTTAAAAATCGTCTTCAAAACCCAAAGTCATTGTCCACAAAAGTGGGGAACTATTAGCGATAGTGACGACTGAGTCTCCATTATAGGTGTTGCTGCTGCTGATAAGTCCTCCCATTTGCATCATTTTTCCATCTAAAATAAATAAAAAATATTTTACATGTGTATTTACTTAACGTTTTCATTAAACATAATATGCCAAATCAAATGTAACTCAATAATTATAATAATGATAATACCTTTATATATTGAGTGTCATTAAGAGGATGCGACTGCAAGTAAATAAATTTCTTGCCACTATAAATGTTCTCATACAACTAATAGTAATATAACTCATTCTATATTTAATCTAGAACAAAAATCTTTTTAGTGGAAAAAAGATCATAAATATGATACTATGATGTAACGTCACATGTTATACTGATGGCACAGTGCACGGGAAATGTGGTAAATGCACATTTTAAAAATATTTATAGTGTTTGAAAACTGATAATGTTGTCATATCTGTCAGATGTATTTGATAAACATGACATACTCTTAACTGTATGGATATCTCTAATATCGTAATATTATCTAATATTGTAAATGTGTTATAAGCTATTAGGTACAACTGAATTTCTCAAAACAAGTGCACTTAAAACATGTTTGCACTAAGCCATTGGTATTATTATACATCAGTTATGTTTAACGTTACATTTTACAGTACCATTTAATATACGTTAAAAGTTTTTCATAAATTGTTATCAGTACATATTTTTTTCTGAAAGGGATTTATATAATAATTCATAAATTTGCCATAATTTTGTATAAACAAAGAAAGTGGAAACTGTATAGTACGTTTAGTATAAATAAAAATATTGTATAAGTTATAACGTAAAAAATGAGACCCTATGTTTGTTTTATAATCAGAGCACTAATGGAAAACAAAGATTATATTAATAAATAGAAATTTGAATAAGTGATTTTGCATCAGCCACAACTAATTTTTAATTAGATAACAAATTTGTTATTTATAAAAGAAATATTATTACTATTTGAGTTACTTTAATTTGGTTTATGTACAAATAAATAGCAAATTACAATAACTAAATATCAGTCTTACTTATATTCCATTTAAGCCCAGTAGTTGTGCAACTCTCACAAGCTGAACCCATCGGGAACAATCCAACGTAATTTTTCTCAGGGTACGCTGTGAGAATTTGAGGAATTTGTATGCTATGTAAACCTGGCGGAAGTAACCAAGTCATCGTGTTTCTTCCTAATAAGATTGTCTTGCAATCTAAAAACTGATCTCTTTGTGTATACAAAGTGTTTATGTTGGACAAGAAATGATCAATCCTGTTGTACATGTTAACCATTACGATTATTTTGTTAATTTTAATTTTTTGTCCTAAAAATATACAATAAACACTTAATGTATGAATGTGAGTTCAACATTGTATTAAGTTATTACTCGCAGAATATTTTTGAACTTCTTTTAATGCTTTTGTAAAATCAGTCTCGTTTTGATTAGGAGTGTGAACTAATTTTGAGCCACGTTTCACAAAGTATTCAACAATAGTAGGCGTTGCAGAATCGAAATCACCGCTGATCAAATCGGGATTTTTGCAATTGAGTTTGTTTTGAGTTATAAATGTGTGCCATCTGTTTGCACCGCCGTCCACTGTTACTCGTAATCGACCTATGAATAAACGTTAATCATCAGTGTACACAATATAATATGTTATACTTATAAAACATAGAAGTTTTGCGGTAACTTACAATTGTTCCACAGATGTTGTATAATTTCTGGGGGATTATTGATACTCGTGTTCAACACGATCACAGATGCGTTTTTCAAACACATAGTCTCCAATTCTGTATGCCACTTGTATATTTTCGGGTCATCATGCATGCTCTTATTCTGAAATGCCTAGAAAAACTATGATATTGTAAATCAAACGAGAAGTAGGTATACTACTGTGAAATCGTTTGACGTTGGAAACACTAACCTTGCACATAACAAATTTTGACAAACGATCCGGCCACAATCCATTCAACATTTGGTTGTGTTGAAGTTAATGGTGCACCACACAATTCAATGTCAACTGACAATAGTGTGTAACGGCGGTAACGATAGGATTGCAATGATCAAATGAAGATTTCCATTGTTTTCTGATGACAAGAGTCTGACGTTAAAATTACTATTTATTGTATCACAACGAATTAATAATATAAAATTATTTAGATAGAAACCAATTACATCTATTATTTAACGTAACTACTCCGTTTGACCTTAAACGACAATACCAATGTAGTAACACATAACGAATACTTTTAATGCAATGACGGTTAACCGTTAAGCGTTAACGTGCACGTGAGATCAATGACAATGACAAATGACAGGTGAGGGCAAATCTAAACAGGGTTCGTAACGATTCACAATCCATAGAAATCGCAACCGAAAATCTCAATACAAGTTACAATCATGAATCACATCATACTCGTCATAGTCCCCCATCGCAGTTTTAATGTTATGTGATTAGGTATCACATAATATTATTATCACAGAATAACCAGAGGAGAAACCAAGGCTGCGACTGATAAGTGTCCGACATTTTGTGTTTTGCGGGTTACGTATAATCAACTAGTTTTTTCCTGGAACTATCGTTAGTTATAGTCTGGCTCCCGGCAGCATAAACAATATGGCAGTTGACCTTTTTCGGCGGCTCATAAGACCCCGACGTGTAATTTTTGTAAAGTTTCCCGTCTGATTATTCTGCGTTAAAATATTATTTGGCAATGAGCGCGCTGCCCCAAAACCTATAGTTGATAAGCAAACGGCCAAGACCTATAATAAATATTTTATATGTCTACGGCAAACAACAGCTGTTGTCATTGGACTTTTTTGCCATTCCAGTTTTGGAGGTAGGTGCCAATTAGATTTTGGCGACCGGTCGAAAAGTAAATTATTATAGCTACATAGGCAAATTGTAAAATGACCGTCTATACATTTCATTATTTTTTTAAATCAAGAATAATTTGCTGACAATGTTGATTGGTCAATAACCAGTTTAAGATAATTACTTTTGAGCTTACTAAAGCAGAAAGCTTAAAATTTAGGACGGGAGGACCGATGAAGGGTGAGATGTACCTAGTATTTTTTTTTATCTGTTCACATTACTCTAGCATTACTCATCCATTATATACATTAAACTCTAATAACTTTAAAAGTAATTATCCAAAACTGGTTATCGACCAGTCAACATATTCAGCAAATTATTATAGTTATCTATACTATTATAGTATTATAGTATTATTATATCTATGTTATTATAGTTATATATTAAGAATAATAATCGTTAAGTTTAATGAACTCTAGAAAAATTAAAAAATATGTAAATGTTAATAATTTCCAATATTTAAAATAACATTAACCAAATTGTAGTACTTATTTAGCTATAGTTGTTTATTATGAAGGCGTTTTACATAATTATCGAGGTCATAGTGCACAAGTGTTTTTTTTTTTTTTTTGGAGAAATTATATTTAATAACACGCTACATATTTCGTACACATTTTAGAAACCAGAGATTCAGAGATTCATTGTTTGAAAACTTAAAGTTTTTTTTTTTAAATTTACAACCCGTTTGCACTGCCATAGATAAATATGTTTTTGTTATTATCCAACTAAATTAACAAAAATATTAGATAGGTATGTAGTTATTCGTAATTGTCGTTAACACTCCTTGAACCGTTCACAGTTTATTCGGAATGCAAACAGAACTTTGTAGCTAATTAGTTATTACATGCATTAAAATTGTTCAATTTTTATTATAATATATTATAATTTATATATGTATATATAAAGGAAACATTGTATTTCTTTTGATTAATAGACAAATAAATAGTAAAAGAATTGAAACAACAGCTGCCAGTAAATGTTATGCCTGTTGACCGGTAATATCAGTTTAAGTATATCGTACACAGTAATATGTGTATACATTGTACCTACTATTTAATAATAATGTATTATTTTCTATTGTAATAACCTTATTACTATAGTGAGGTGGGCTTACACGATCAGCTGGACTGTGCACGAAGACAGCTTCGACTGGGTCGGGGTAAACTTCCATCCGTAAGATACCTGTAGAGACGAGCTTCTGATATGTTTTTAATTAATCTACAAAAGCCCGGATCTACAGGGTAGATCACGAATGCGTTACACCGCTATTGCGATTGGTATGAAGTCATCTGCAGGCACAACGTATTTCGGGATCCTGCGTGAAGAAGAGAAAAACCAAAAAAATTACATTTTATTTCAATCCGAAATGCGGTTGTTTACTTTCTCGCGATAGCTTTGGGTAGCCGTAATAGTTTATTATTATTAACAGAGCAAAAAAAAAAGAATAGATGCACATGGGTCGACCTTGCAAGGAGTAGAGCAGACTGCCTTCTGACCACCGGCAAGGGTGTAGAGTTCAGCGGAGGCTGTGGATCCCGCGGTGGTTTATTGATCTCTCCGGTGTCGCTTCTGCTGCTGTGCACGAGGGTGGTAATACCAGACGACCGGGAGGAAAACCGCTGACGGGATTACGGTTTTTTTTACTATTATAGTTTTGTTCGGACCCGCGGAAAGTATACATGATTCCCGTTCAGCCTCGATCGGCTACGTCACCAGCAGATATCTCTATTAGGTCTCTCAGATTTCGAGGGCCGTCGCAGGCTTCCGCGGTGACTTGACCTATGGAAACGTTTTGCCGTTAGTTCGATCGCGTTTCCAGCAAACGCGATTGACCGTGTGGTCGTGCCACAATAATAGTACCGAAATGATATTACTTACTGTTTACACGGCACGAGACGACGAAACCGACAGTTGTTTGAGAATCCTATACGTGCACTTTATAAGTGTTGTGGCCGACGGATGCTTCGGTGTGCAAGGTGGTTCGGCAAGCACGGCTCGTCTGCTCTGACTGTGGTGATGCTGTGTGTAAACGGTCTTGCCCACCAGAGGGACGTTGCAAACAGGGCGCGGCTCGCCACCCTTGCCATCTGCTCGTTTTCCATCTCCGTTTTTGCACTTGTACCCCACATCAGCACCCTCCAATCTATAAAATACAAAACCCCCCCCCGGAGAGTGCCGGTAATTACCCCCCCCTCCATCCTAGGACGGTCTTATACCTTCCACCGACCGCCACTTCGGCGGGCCGTTTTTCAATTTAAGAGCCGTCGGAGATTCAGTATTTCATAAAAAAAAAAAAAATGTCATAATAATACTTATTAAAACCATTACGAAATTTTAGACTTCCGTGTTTTACGAAAACACCTAAACCCTATACCGGTTGTATTATTAGTGATGGTTATAAGTATACCCTACATCCGAACCGAGTTTTGTTTGCACAAGAGAAAGCGATTTTCGATTACAGACTTTCGTTTAGGACGAGTAGGCGTTTTTAAGCGTTTTTTGCAAATGTTGTCAATATTTTGTGAAACATGCTGTGACGAATTGCACGCGGTCGGTTTTTTCAGTCAAAAGTTTTGACTCAAAACACATCATTTTTATTCCATCACACAGGCCGAACCAGTGATCCGATAAGCAATCTAAAAACAGATTTGAATTCGCCACGAAGTTTACTTAGATCGGTCAGGGTACTTTTTTTAATTTTTAATTTTAACCCTTTCCAAATTCTAAATTTTATATAAAGTTCAAACGTGTTTTATACATAGTAGGAATTATATCGAAAAAGTACGGTGACCGATCTTAAGTAAACTTCATGACGAATTAAAATCTGTTTTCAGATTACTTATCGGGTCACTGGCTCAGCCCGTGCGATGGACCATTAAAAATAATACCATGAAGCTTATAGAAATTAACCGATAAATTAATTGACACGATCGAAATATATTAAAACCACTTTTTTCTTAAATATTGGCTATTGCCGTGTATAGGTACGACCATTTCGGTTGTAAGAAACATGGAATGTTAAATCTAAATCGTATAACTAGTTTTTTTAAACCTTAATCCAAAAACTATGCTAAAAAAGCGAAAAAAAGGTTTCCACCATTTCTGAGGATTAGGGTTGATACTTTTTCGGTTTAACTAATAGGGTTACTACTAAAGAATATAACTCAATACAGATAATCACAAGATATAACTTAGTAAATATACTAAATGTATTAGTATACTTATAATGATCTACCTACGTCATTTAAATATTAATTATTCACATTTCACCTTAGAATCGTTATCCAATTAGATTATTTATGTAATGGACAGTTTTTTTTTTTCATAAATACAGTAAATAGTAAATGCTTTATTTATTTTTTATTGTCCACAAGAATCCGACATTAATGAAAATATACATAACGGGTTACAATGACGGTTTAATTGCATAATAAATTGAAGTGTTGATAGTGAAAGCTGTTCGAAGTCATTAAATTTAAACTAACGTTTTTGAAATATCTAACAGTCAACGCCATCTATGTACAGGCAGGAGAACGCGATCTGTAAACGTTCAGTCCAGAACTAATAGGCTATAAATTGGGTTTACAAATTTATTAATTGGTAGTAGGTCGAGTAGGCGAGCTGCGAGAAGAAAAGTTTATTCAATTCGCGAGACTGCTTCTAAGCGTTATGTATTAATACAAATTAAATTGTCCACTTTAGTAAAAATTCTTCTAATTATTAACTATATACCTACCTATTCTTATTAACTATATACCTACAGTCTGGTTTTAAGATCCTCTATGTTCAAAAATTGTATATACAAAAGCGAAATTAAGAAATATTTTTTACTCTTTTGGGGAAAATGGTTAGTTATATTTCTTTGTTATTCGACTTCACAAATCGATGTATCTAGAGAATACCTATCCTTAACTAATTTGAAACTTCTTTTATCCTGTTTCGGTATAACAGGTTCATTTAAGAGAAAAGTGTTTATTTTGAGCAGGTTTTGCGCGATTATGACAGATATTTTTGGAAGCGAACGATTTAAAATCTATGTAGTTTAAGTTTTCTGTAAATGAACAACTTGTACTGTATAAATAAAATTTGTCCGAAGTTTTTGGATTAACCTTTCATACATTTACACGCTGGAAAACTTTCAATTTTTGAGCTTTCAAGTGGTTTTACCCAACGACCCATTGTTTATTAAAAAAATGACAAATTATTTCCAGTATTTTAAGTTTGTTATTAATAAATGAGTGACAAAAACAAACATTTTTTCATTGCGTTTTGATCATGGACGTGTGTCAATAATTCGATGTTGATAATTTACTATTTCTATGAAAATAATACATTCCGAGTTGTATACCACTTGAGCAAAAGTACCTAATTAATAATATGTTAAAAATAAAAAACGCATATCATAGTTAAATTTAATGTTTTTTCGAGAAATTTAAATAGGTGTTTATAATTTAATCGCATAAATAATACAGTTTTCAAAGTCATTTTTCTAAGTAAGACAATTTGTTGTCAAATCGTATATTATTCTTCTTCGCCGCCTTTACCGATACAAGTGCTCATTTC